TTTTAATTCGATCCAATCATTCTGAAAAAACGAGTGTGTTTCAATGGGCAACCAACCCGTCACCAAGACTGACTCAGAGTTGGGTCAAGTCCAGCAATGCTTCTGTGAAGCGATATCTCGATGCTTAAATTCCCCGTCTTGCTTGGACAAACACTGATTTTCTGAAAAACTAAGTATATTGCCATATTAGCGATAAGAAAATGCGCAAGCTATGTTGCTCAAACCCTAAATTTCTGCAAAGCCATTCAGTTTCTTGAAGTTGAGTTTTGGGTGTTTCAAGGCATTTTCTTTGGTCGCTTTCTTTTCCATTCAGAAAGCCACCGCATTTTTCCGGAGCCAGGGAGATGTCGGGATGACATCCCAACTTATGGTGATTGATAACCATTGTTATATCAACTTTATCATGTCATATCCCATAGGATCCATGGTGCTGCTATATATGGGAACATGGATCCCATCAATGTACCCCATTTATGTTAGCATATATACCAGCACCATGGATCCTATGGCTATTGTAATATGTCATATTCATTCGTGATATCCATTTATTGTTACATTTGTGTTAAGATTATCCATTGGAGAAAAAAACGAAAAGATGCAGCCCCGACCCAAGAACTTTGACCCGAACTACCCAGCTTCCATCAGTAAAACTCACTTGGAATCTTGGTATATTTTCCCTGCGAGAAGTGCTGGCAACTCTTTGAATGACATTGCATAGTTTAGACCAAATCATATATTGCTTCCTAAACATCGCTAATGCTAAATACCCGACAAAACACATTTTTTTTGGCTGCTAGGCACCATGTCTAACAAAAACAATCAAACAACTAAGTTTTTTAAAAACTATCATCCAAGGTTCCCCCCGGCAAAGGTTCCAACACTCCATGTTTAGTTGGTTTAACATCCGTTTTTGCTTGATATTCTGCCTCCAAGAAAGAACGATGTCCAACTTTAGACGTTTCAACCGCTTTTGGGGGGGCACCATCCCCGTGTGAGTCATAAAAAATATTCCTATCCCATCTCATTCTTGGTTGATAGGTTTCTTTACTATGGGTTAGTTCATAATCTCCAAAAACCCAGGTAGTATAATTCCTTACTTTATAACCAATCAAACATGATCTATCAACTATATCATCCATAAATTTGATACTTAAACCCTCAAAGAACACCTGTAATTGATGGTTGACGATAGTCCAATCCCATTAAATCCCAGTAAATCGGCGCATTCGAAGCATTTGCCCGACTTTGATTGCACGCATCAACGTCATTTTGTTGGTATCAACGAGAATGAAATATGTAGTGAACAGTAGATGTCCACCATGTCTGCATCATGCCAATGCAGGATGTCATACATTCTGATTACATCATAGACCTCAGCGCAACTGTTAGATCCAAATTTTGGCTACAAGCCTTTGTCTGAAGATAGGGAGCCCAAAGTCCAATGGTTTAAAACTTAGTTTTTTGTTTCAGCAAATTTCATGGTTAATCAGCAGTTTCCCTAGGAAATTATTTTTTTTTGAGAATAAATGATCCATTTTTAGACACACCATTTTTTTTAGAAATGGCAACTATCCATGGGTATCGACTTCAAAGGCCCGCGGCAAGTCGGAAATCTGGAGGCTCCCTGCTGGCGAATGTGATTCTGCCCAGCACTGCCTTGGCGGAAGCAAAAATGGATCAGATTGAGTCAATGCATGGGTCTAGTGAAACTGTGGAAACCAGGGGGTTTTAATCATGGCAATTTTGGGGCTGGATTCCCCATTTTCAAATATTTTCAGATACAAACCATATCCCACTCAATCCCTGGATCATCCGGCGCAAGTGCTTCGTAACTGTAGTTAGAACCCCTTGATGAATGGGACAATCAACGGGGGACGAATCCAATCAGCAGCCAGTTCGTTCTACCATAAACCAAAGAATTCAGAGGCAACTGGCTGAACGCAATTTCTTTTACCATTCCCCCATGCAACGTAGGTATAAAAAGCATATACTCCCTTTGGCTTTGGGTCCATGTGAAGAATTCCCCCAATAGCTGCAGCAGCAATTTGGGATGGTTGAAACCCTATCAATCATGGGATAGTCACTATGTCCATCAACTGGTGGATCTCGCTGGTTCAACCACAGTATGATTCTAAGTCAAAGTCATTGAAAATTCTCTAAAGATCTGGGAAAAAAACCTCCAGTAAATTAACATAGACCCTGACAGGGGTTGAAAGACGAGTGAACCCACTAGAAATTGAGTGTTTTCATGTTTTCAGGGTCAACAAGTTAATTTACCAGAGGGTATAATATTTCACAAACCTGAATAGTTGGGTCATTTGGGGATAGTCACCCCAATCGGAGCCATCCCCAGTTTCATAGATCCCACACTGAGCTCCCCAGAGCAGACGAGCCCGGTTTGTCGGATTTTTTGGCAGATCATGAGGGATTGGCGAACTATAAGTTGGGGGAAATTATAGAATTACCCTCTGGTTATTTAACAGTTTGCCATGGAAAATGGCCCATAGAAATAGATGGTTTACCTATTAAAAATTGTGGATCTTTTCATGGCTATGTTAAATAAGCAGAGGGTATAAACAGTCATTCGTATTCGTTCGAGTTCAATGTAATTCGGAATTCACTCGATGTTTTTCACTGTTTTGGGAGAGTCACCCCAATCAGAACTATCATTCCAGTCGCGACGTGAGGTCGTTATAATTCCGGATGGAGATTCCACCAGCATATGGGGCAATTCGCAGATCAAATGCCTATCCCAGCAACCAACTTATTTTTTGGTCATGTTTGCACGATCCATTTTTTTTTAAGCGTATAGTATAACCTAAATTTCATAAAGCCATACTAAGTGTATTGGGGATGGTTTGTTGTTGGGTTTACGACATACCCAGCTGCCGCTCCAGCCCCGAAGATCGGCGCTCTTGGTTCCGTTGGTTCCGTCCGTGGCAGGTCTGTACAAGTGGAGCTGTGAACGAAGCCTCGAAGCCAAAAAATCTCAGGATGATCCCAATGATCCCCCAAATGCGTTGGTGAAATTGGAAAGTCATGCGATTCTACCAACAGTTGTACATTTGTTGGGGCCCCCGTTTACGATAGCTAAGTTGGTGCACATAACTCCAATTTCACTATGGTTTATGGTACCTATAACTATAGTATTCATGGGGTTTATAAACCATCGTTCCATCACTGGGGGGCTCCACATTTGTACCTATTTATTATCATTTTACCTGCTGGATGGCTTAACTTTCACACCTCGACATAACTCGGCATGTGTGCGCCGTGCGCTTTCCGCTCCTGCTAGGCGAGTCTTGGCCACTGAAGTGGTCAAGAGGAGCGAAATTGTTTGCAAAATCGGTCTTGGGAAAGCAAGTCTGGGGAGGATTTTAACATATTTAAACCAGTTTTGTTGTTGGATCCAATTTTTTTTGGGTCAGTTTTTTTCCCCCACAACCAACGAATCCCACTTCGCCCGGACCACAGGTCAACGAAGCGACAGCGAAACGTGTTCGCAGTACGGCAAAGGGAGTCTTTTGCGTCGGCGATTCCGGTGGTGGCTATGCAAGTGAGCCCCTTGCTGTTGTGAATATGGTGAGATGATTAGTGGGATATCTCACCTCCGAAAAGGATAGAAGAGTCACAAGGCCATTGTTTTAGTCGGATTGACTGACTTTGGCATATTTTAGGCCTTACTATAAACATAGATTTAAATGGAACTAATTTGTAATAATTTGTAAGTTCCTGTTGTGAATTTCTACATCATGCTAATTCTTCTAAGTCCATGTTCAACCCCTTGGATTCCAACCTAAAGATTCTCCGATCCTCCGAAAGATACCTTTAGGTATCATCTCGATTCCATGGGTCAATGGCAGATGGACTTCGATGGTAGTAAGTTAACTAAAGCTGATATAACTGGAAAATCTGATGCTAAGATATACTAAGTCTAATGTTCTGTTGAACCAAACAGAGTATGATTCCAGAGAATTTCCATGGATGTTGGACATGTTGAACATTGCTGACATCCACTTGGACCATATTTGGAGGGTGAACTTTGATAAATATCAGGTGAACACAGAACACAACCACGCACTCAACCCCTGCCTCCTGGAACAGTTGATAGATGGGGATGTATACTTATAAGGTTACATACCAGGGCTATCATCAACAAATATGGAATATGATGGGGGACAAATAATGGGACGATAATGGGATATCTAACCAACAATCGTGGTATTTCTCTGTCAAAATCAAAGTATGTTATTTTCCAAGAATCATGGGATGTAATCAATGGACTGGATAATTGATGACAATTTCCGCGTCACATTTAAAACCATTTTTCGATCCATTTCCGATTTGTTGCAAGGTGGCTACCAGTGGCTATGCATTATTCAAAATGAACACATGGATATGCATCTGTCTGAAGATGGAAGTATACTCCGAAAATGGCAAATTAAATAGGACCTATAACCATAAACCAATGGATTTTGCGGGTGATCTTGAACAAACCCTGTGATGGCGGCTCAACGTGCACAAATCGCTTCCAGCCCCCCTTTCCCTCCAAAATTTGCAAGGAATTCATGTCCCAAAACATGAAGATTTCAACATCAAACCAGGCACGGTTGTTTTGTTCGCCAGGAGTATTCTAAACGTGATGTACCATCTGGTTATTTAACATAGCCATGGAAAATGGCCCGTTTATAGATGGTTTACCTATTAAAAATGGTGATTTCCATAGCTATGTTAAATAACCAGAGGGTAAATCATAAAATGAATTCGATTATGTCCTCTTGATCTAAACTTTTTCTGGTAAGGAATTCTGAACGGATGACACTCAGACTTGTCGAGGATTTATCACATGATCTTTGGAAATGGAGATTTTCACGAACACAAAACACATGGTTGTTGGTGTTGTGGTTCCTTTTTTTCCGGTTTGGTGTCATGGTTCCTTCGTTTGGGACATGGATCGCTACCCAGACCCCGGTACCAGGGCCTTTCAGAAGTTGAAACCTCTACCTGTTGGAGGTGACTGTGGATGTGTCCCTAGGTCAACCATATCATTGTTGTGGGGATAGCCATTAATGGTTAATCATAGTTCATAACCATAGTTCATAACCATAGTTAATGATTAATGGTTAATAGTTAACCTAGGTTTATCTTAGATGGGTAGAAACTAGTCTTTTGGTATGGGACTATCTACGTTCACCAGCAAAAAAATATTGCAGGGTATCTAACAGTATATGATTATTGATTATTATTGATTATTTATTGTTATAATTCCCAATATATTGGGTAGTATAATCCCCGAACTAATCATCAACCAAATAGGGTTTTGAACATTTGGGTGCATCTCATCTAAGATTGGCCATGTTATTACATCCCATTATATTCCAATATCACAGTAGAGCCTCATCTAATCAGAAAAATCTTAGTTTGATAGTTTAGAAAACCTGGTTGTTTCTTGGTATTTTTGGTGTCTACAAACCCATGTGTTTCTGATGAGATGAACAACTCAAATCAGTTTTTATAAATCCCATTACTATGTCCCATCATTATCCCAGTAAATCTCCCTATATTCAGTTATATCAGATATACTAGTTATATAAATCCTGAGTGTTGCTTAAATCATATTTTATAAACCCCACTTTTTGGTGGATAAATCGTCAATTTTATAAGTCCATGTTGCTTTAAACCATTGGGATGGTGAGTTGCATTTCGGCCGTGTTTTGGGATGATCTGGAGGCAAAGTGTTGGTCTCAGGCGACTTTGCGAAGTGCCGAAATGCCGAGACTCACATAGGCCCTCTGTCTCTCCATATATGAAAAAAAGTCTATATATCTGCATTAAATATTATTTTATGTATAATATTATATTAAAATAAATAGTATAACAATATATATAAATATATATTCTTAAAATATATTAGATATTGAATATTTTGAAATATTATATGCAGTAAGGACTAAATATTGTATTAGAACTAATTTTTATTATATTTTATAATATCAAGTTATATTATAGTAATTTATTAATAATATTAAATTATATATTATATTAAATTATATTAAATGAAATTGTACTATATTCAATTACATTGTATTAAATATAATTAATTAAATTATATATTACTATTTTTCATGATGTTATAGTATATAATAAAACAATATTTTGAAATTATATAATTTTAAATTACATCAAATATTGCATTGTAAATTCTATGACATTAATTTAAATTATATATATTCTATTGAAAATTATATTACATGAACGTATAAAATCCATATTGTACTATATTGTATATTAAATCATATTGTGGTAAATAAAGAGGTAAAATACAATACGATATTATATGTTAAATTATAATATATAATATTGAATCAAATTATATTATATATTGCATTAAATTATAAATATTATATTTTAGAATATTAAACCTTGTATTACAGTATAAACATATATCATAATTGAAGCTATAATATTATATCGTATCGCGTCGTATCGTATCGTATATCAAACTATACTGCATTGTATTGTATTGTATTATGTTATGTTGTACAATATTGTATTATATTGTATTAAATTGTATTATGTTAAATTAAATATTCTACTATATTAGATAATGTTATATTATATTATATTATGTTATATTATAGCATTTTAAATGATATTATATTGTACTTTATTGTATTGTATTAAATCATACTAAATTATATTTTATTTTGTATTATATTAAATGATATCGAATTAAATTATATCATATTATATTGTGTTATATTGTCCTATATTATACTGTGCTGAAAAATGTTGTATCATCCTAAATTACATTCAAATTGAACCTGTATGATTACAACACATTACAAGTATACTAGCCTTTATTGGCACCATGATCATGACAGCTCACAAGCCTCCCAGCACAAGCCCCATCCAAGGTACAACAAGAAAGCTCTGCGACACAACTCACCTCCACCTGGGACAAGCTGCGCCCAGTTAGATTTATCTGCTTTGAAGATGTTATAATAAGATATGACGTATCTAGTTACATGATATTTAAATGATCTGGTATCTCATGTATATATATATATGTAAAAATATAATATATATACACATACATAATAATACATTGTAATATAAATATATATATATATTGATATAAGGGATATAGTCTGCTTACGATGTGGGATGCATATCCAAGTAGGGGCGTGCACTGTGAAGACATAGATAGGGATATTTGTAAGCACGCACATAATCACACATATAGTGGCTGGGCACCATGTTGTACGGATAGGAATCATTTCTACGTCAAGCACACGTGTTCGTGCCATACAGTGGTTTGTGCCAAATAAATGGCTAGTAGATTTACATGGCACAAAAGGGGTTTGTACCAAACTGTCACCACAACTGGCTGAGGGGCCAGATTATTTGGCTCACATGGGGCTATCCGCACAATGGTGGTGACAGCAATGGAACCCATCTATCAGCTGGGATCAAAGATGAAAAATGTCAAACACTGGATATGGAAGTTGTGGATTTCTGTTGAAAAGAAATGCATGTTCAATGGGTTCAGTATGCTTCTCGCTTGGTGTCCGCATTCATTCGTCTATATCTATAAATCCAATATTTCTTGAGGATGCCCTCTACCACATGTGTTTGTTTGAACATGGCTGGGTCATGTCGACAGTCCTCCTCGTGGGCGACCCAGCGGGCCACTCATGGTTTTTAACAGTGTATAGTACATGAGTGGTGCAAAGGCGCCAGCTTATTTTGTAAAGCATGTTAGGTGGCCAGCGAGCTGACTTAGGCCAGCTCGCTGACTTAGGCCAGCTCGTGCCATGTCGACGCCACCGAACGGCGTCTGCAAGTTTTGAAACACCCAGTCTCTTGAGAGATGAGTTGATGCAGGGCACCTGATTTCTGGCCGGAGCGTCTCCCGGAAATTGGGCAAGTGTTGATGACCTCGTTTTCGATTTGTCTTCCTGGTCTGAGGTCGCGTCAGGACGCGCGGCCCCTGCTTGCAGGTATCCGGGATCTCTGAGTCACATTCCGTTCGAATGACTGGATTGGTGATAATGTGATAGGGCTGTCTTTGCTCCATTTCCATGTTTTGAGTTGCTAGAATTGGGTGTGCAATTAAGTTCTGGTTTTTGGAAGAGGCTCACTGCATCCTCTTGCACCGCTTAGCGCGGCTGGATGCAGTGGATGGTCCGCGCGGTGGCCTGGGTAGCATCCCTATGGGTGTGTTACTCCAATGCCGTTCCGAGGCAATTCGTTTAACAAAGGGGTGGGATGATGGGACGCCCCCACTCCTCTCTAGTCCTACCAGTGACAGCATTATGTTTGTACAGTGTCACTTGCCAGACTCTTCGGAGTTTAGTGCTACATCATCATCATCATCATCATCATCATCACAAATCAGTTTGAACATGGTGCCCCATAAGTGTGTGCGTTCGACGCAGTGAGTTTTGGGTAGTCGCCATGTAAATCTACGACGTACATGGTTTGTGTGATTGGGTGATACATTTGACGACACAGGACATAGGATAATGGTGTATGTGCCTCAGTCAGTGGGGGCTGCAAGCGTGCCTCAAACCATGCAGAAGGTTGTGGGGCAACCTGCCGCTACTTTTGAAACTAGAAATCAGTCTGTATCGCACGATCGTTCTGTATCGCACAAATTCGCAAAATCGTTCTGTATTGAACGATCGTTCTGTATCGCTTGATCGTTCTTTTTCAAAATTATGTTTGGTCAAGGTTGGTATGAAAAATGGAACAGCAATGATGGTTTATAACTCCAGTAATTATGGTTCATGGTAGATATATCCATACTTACTATGGTTTTTATAAGCCAACGTTCCATCACTGACTGGGGGGTCACCACCTTGTATAAAAAAAAAGTGGGGAAGTGAAGGCTTTTGAAACTCAGAGCTGGAACCCTGTGCAGTTTTTCCATCGTTCTCTATCGATCATTCTTTATCAGTTTCCATCACGGGGAATTTTGAACGCATTGTGGCAATTTGGGGCTGGTCACGTACTTGGCGGGTTGCAAAGGAGGTAACCAGGGGACCTGCAGGGCCTGCCCAATGAATGTGAAAGACATTTTCACCTTGACAAAGATGTTTTGGGAGAGAATGTAGGACTTCTGATAGGACAATCAGCTAAAAACGCTTTGGGGTGAAAATGGAAGGTGCAGGGTGCATTCTGGTGTGATTGATTCTCTGATGCTTTGCTTGTGGGCTACTCGGTATACCACACCTTGAAAATAAACGCAAAGAATGATCATTGGGAAGGTGAGAGCTTGAAATTTGTCTGCGCTGCCTGCACTGAGCATGATCCAACTCCAATATTTTCCAGGTCAACTTTCATGTGGGTTTTGCGTAAAGCCCTGAGGCACATTTCGGGACGATTCACACCTGAAAACCAGCTGGCTGAGGAATTGCACAGGACTCACTTTACCATGTCTGACACTTCATTGCAGGTACCGGCGATGTCAGGAGTCATCCCCTTAACAAAATTGAACATCAAATTATAGTGATGTCACCAGATATTCATCCATAATTCATCCATATTTCTATAGTTGCAATGTTCCCATGGTTTGTTGCATCGCCCCATGCATCCAAGCGGCACTTGCGGCAGTTCTCTGGTGAGCTGGTGCAGTAGGGACTGTCTTCAGCTTCATTACCTGTGGCATTCCACTGGGAGGAACGTGGTGTCAAAATGGAGTGATGGGAATTCCCCAACATGGCAATGGGGAAATGATATCGTAAGAAATTCGGATTCCAGGGGTACCCGATTTTTAGACTAAGCTAATCTTGAATAAGACAGTGACATTGGGATAGACACCAGTTTCAATAGTTATGAACCATAACTAATAGCTGGGATGCATGCGAAGTAGATTGTGGCACAGGTCTAGTCTCTTAGTACTTGAGTAGGCATAGGGTAGCTCAGACTCACCACACTAATGAATGAAGGTAACATGGCCAATCTTAGATACCCTGCAAAAAAGTAATTTCTTAGCTGGTGAATGTAGATAATCCCATTGATACCAAAAGACTAAAGCCTAGCAATGAATGAAGGTATTGTTCGAAGCACTACCTGGATGGTGGTTGAGCAACATACACCATCATTTGGGTTCATTACACTCAGGCAAAACATAGTTGTAGAACAATGACCAGTTTATGGATGATTTTTCTATTAAAAACGGTGATTTCAGAGCTATTTTGAATTACCAGGGGGTTATTTTGAATTTTGGCACGAAGAAAACTCCGAGTGATGATCATCCCATTGGTTGGTGTCGGTGATGCTCCCCATTTGAAACGATGGAACATGTCCACTACTATGGTGAACCAGCCCTTCCATGGATATCCTGCAACCCCTGGTTGTAGCCAGCGGGAGAGCATCAGAATGGTGGATTTCATGCAGTTTTCTCATATTCTTTGGAGGCTCCTGAGCAAAACGGGTGTGGCAACACTGTTTCTTGCTGTTGTTTGATGCTTCAGGAAGCAACCAACAAACATCTTCATTTGATTCATACATCTTCGTCGCCAGAGCTGCCGCAAGCTCATCCTCCGGAGGATCTCCGGCCGACCTTTTGCTGCACATACCACCGCACCTCCGTACCACGTACCAAACGTACCATGTATGGTACCATGGTACCCCATGACTGTACCTACACGGCAAAGTCTCTCCAGAAACCATGCTTAGCACCACTCTTGGGTTTAGATGCTTCACTCCGATAAATACCCGTCTCTGGTCAGTGGTTTGCAAGAAACCACTACTAAGCCAAGTGGCAAGAAACGTGGTTTTGGGTTTCTGTGGTGTCAATAGCGGAAGAATTACTTACATTTTTTTGATCGGATGGAGTTCAAAAAGGAGCAGCACACCTCCTACAGTGTCGATTTTGGGGTGCTATGTAATGATATTTACGATGATTGGGCCAGATTGTAACGTCGAAATCGCGCGCAAAAATGATATGTTTGATATATCCAACCCTTACATACCCTTACCGCATTGCCGGAGCGCGAAGCCCCACAATTTGATCCCCAATATCCTTCGGTAAACCCAACTACCATAGATGGTGAACCAATGTCTGGGTGTTTCTCAACATTTCGAACCGACACCCAGTAAAAACATCAAAATGGATTGACTCCGGGGTTCCCAACTTTAGAAACCACACTTTGAAACGATGAAAACCGTTATATCTTGAAGCCCTGCTGTTTGCGGCTCAAGATGCAGGTATCGGAACTGCAATCCTCGGGAGTAGCCACTTACCCTCTGGTGATTTAACAGTTTGCTATGTTAGTTTACCAGAGGGTTGCAATTAATGTCACTCAATGACAATATCAATGAATATCCATTAAGTGGGTCACTATCACTATTCATCTAATATAATCAATAATTTGGTAAACACTTACCAACCAGTTGGTAAGTGAAGCAGCAAGTAGTTCCTACATCAGATGGGGGCACGTGAAAGGTGTATTTTCGGCACGTCACGATGCGTTGGACGCAACATATGGAACATGTTCTCTCTGGTAACTCTATAGTATGGTTACCAATTTTTGGGTATTCCGCATTTTGAATCATTTTGAGACATACCCACATCCGTTCAAGGGCTAGTTACTAGTTGTTACTGATAGGCGAGTTTCCACCTGTCGCTTTAGATCTTTTTAGCCAGATCCAATCTAAATTCCAGATTTTCCAAGAATTGACCAACCCCAAGTCAGCTGATTGAAATGAAATCAGGCATTTAAAGAAATCCTCAACCCCCTTTCCAGATTTTCCAACACCCTAGATACAGGAGGCACATTATTTCAAGATGCGAAACCTCGAGATTTACCCACTGCCAACCATTTCCGAGAACGGTGTGGATCAACGTTGAGATCAAAATCATATACCATCTGGTTATGACTAACAGTTAGCCATGGAAAGATCCACCATTTTTAAGAACGGTAAACCATCTATTTCAATGGGCCATCTATACCATGGCTATATTAAATAACCAGAGGGTATAACAATTCTTATAGTATCTGATCAATCTTAAATGAATCTTCCACATCTGACAAGTGGTCGATGGTCCACTTTCCCCCCAAAAAACTGGAAATCCATGGCCGGAAAATCCAGCAGCCAGGAGTCCGGATAGCAACACCGCTCCGCGGAGCGCGCGGGCGTTGTTGCTGCCGTGCTGGTTGTCGTTTCAGTGGCGCTGGTCCTGATCTGCGTAAGTGGATGGTGTGGTGAAATGTGGTGAAGCCATATACACCCATGACTTGGGGATGGTATACAAACATGTACCATCCCCAGTCGTCACCATGGGTGCATGGTTAACCATCCCCGGTAGGTTTATGGCTTATGGCATTGCATTGGGTTTCCCGCATTAATTTCACCCCTTTTTCCGGGCATGGCGACTATGGCATGACTGTGTGATATCAGGGATCTTACTAGACCTTACTAACCAGGATTGCCAGTTACAAGGACGACCAACAATACTTTTGGACCATTCATCACAGCAAACACAGTTTTTTTTCTTCGGGTTTGAACACGGTTCCCGTAGTATGGACGTAGTCTGCAATTGGAATCCCAATGGTGGGTCGGAAATGCCAATCAACTTAGCGCTGACTAGTCACCAGCAGAAACTCATCGGTTTCAGACGTTTCCCACCGAAAATGAAACATTCGTATAAAGATGTATCAAACAATCATGAAATTTAACATAATCTAACTATTATCATTCTGATATCTGATATCTGCTTGCTGTTTTTCGCCAAGATATGCCAATTGTGAGCCCAAGATGCGGCTTGGGAAAGCTGCCAACGGCAGGTGCTCCCACGTTGTATCACCATTACTGTTGGTTAACAAAAACCATGGCTAATGGTTAGTTACCAGTAATTGCCCATGAATGTGTCCAAATTGCTTGATCCATGTTCAACTCCAAACCTAGGATTCAAACCTTTACCTTCTATGTTTTTTTTTAGTGTTCAATAATGTTCCCCAAATGTATACAATATTCCAATACTAACTACATATCTGGATATAGTGGGATAGAATTTGATATAGATACAGCTGGATATTACCCGCTGGTAAGCATTAGATAAAAGATTCTCCAAAACAAAAAAAACATTGGGAATTTCCATCGTAAACTCTTTGATTTTTAGGGTAGATACAGTAGCTGACTCCACACAACGGATTCATGAAAAATCTCCCCATAAACCATAGTTGTAGTGCACCAACAAACAGCTATCATACATCAACTCTAAATTCCCAGGAAATCCCATTCCCATAGTGAAAATTTGTGTTTCCCTCATTTTAGATGGGTTCAAAAGGAGCGAACAGTAGAGCAAAGGAAATCATCTACGAGCCAGCAGTTTGACATCTTGTCTCGTGGATTCGTTTGTATTTTGCGGTATCGTTCAGCTGGTCCAGGTTCATGAACAGGGACGATCGTGATATCACCAAAAGTTTTGAAGTGTTCCACTGATTGACGCAGGTTTTTCTTGTTGGGCTGTACCCGAAGGTATTGAACAATTGCATCCACTGTTTCAGATTGTCTAGACATTAAAGGTCGAGTGGCCAAATGTGAAATTTGACCCGTAAACCCCAGTCTGTGGAGAGATTTTCCTCCCTTTTTGATGTTCCCAGGAAAGATACGACGTTGTAACAATGATTCAACGCACCTCACAGCGGATTGAAATGACGTGCATTGAGTCATTGCATTTCGTTTGTCTGAAGGCAAAATCTTAGTTTCATTCGAAAAGTAATCAACATAGATAACATTCTCAAGCGTGCCGGAAACACGAACAGGTATATATCGCGAAGTACAAAGAAGAAGTTCACATATAATTCAAACCATGACACACCCCAGGATATAGCCATGCCTGGGTGTGTCATGGGGTCAAAGACTGCATCATGCGATGGCCAACGAAGCGTCATTGCCCAGTTGACAATAAACCACGCTAAATTGGTACCCTGAAGGGATCTGTCAAATAGAGAGCCACCCAAGTTATGTAGGTCAACCATAATGGAACGTTCAAAATTTAGCGGTTGCAAAACGTGCACTGCAGAGTCACTCATTAAATTACGGGTGCAAGAAACTTGTGACGGATCCCATTGATACCAAAAGACTAGTTAGGATTAGTTTCTACCGATCTAAGATTGACCTAGTAATGAATGAAGGTTTGCTTGTTCGAAGCATTGCAGGATCTAAGATTGACCGGTCAATTCCCCATTCCTGATTGGTTCCCTCTCCTTGGCTCACTGGAGCTGGATCTAGTACTGGGACTGCCGCTTCCACCACAGAGAGTGCCACCACAGTTTTGGCAGTTGCCAGTGGAGCGGCTGCCTAGTGTGGGAATATGCTATGGTGAGTAAAATCAGTTAAATCTAACATCATATGATATCCTCTGATATCTTACCTTAAAATTTATGGGATATATATATATATAGTAATAATAATAATAATAAATATATATATATATATATATATATATAAAATATGGATTATATCACAGTATGTTATGGTGGTATGATATCCTATATCCCCAAAAAACTACCGGATCTATCAGTACATGTTGCTGTGGTGATAGATTCATAGTCAGTCACATGGTCTGGGATATCTGACGTATCATCTGGATGTTAGAGTTATGGATCCACCAAACATACGGACTTTTTGGTGTCGAAATGGAGACGTTTCGCATGAGCAATTGGAGACATAGAGCCCCCCCAAAATATCTTGGGATTCAACTGTTTTGTGTATTTTTTCTCAGTAAGAATGGCTTAAGAATGGGATTGTTTCCCAAGATACACTACTTCAATGATGCAGCAAAATAGCTGTCCAACCAATAGGGAATGCCGGTTTGAGGCCCCGATTTTCTGCAGTCCGGACTATGTGAATATATATATATATATCTCTCTCTCCACGAAGTTGGCAAGATGATTTTTCATTTAAAAATATAGCAATGCATAGCAAGGCATGGATAATTGTTCAGATCATGTGGACTAAGTATGACTAATTAAGTGATATCTCTCTTCACTTCATTCTAGATTATTCCATTGCAGAAAAATGGATTTGCTTAAAATGGCGTCCCCGTCAGCAAATGCAGGTATTCACAATCACTATGAATCACTATTAACCACTATTGAAGACTTTTAATCACTATTAATAACTATTAAGCACTACTAAGCAATATTAATAACCATTAACCACTATTAACCACTATTAATCACAATTAATCCCATTACATTCCCATTAGACCCATGTTTAAAGCCAAAGCAAAGGTTGCAGGAATCTTATGACTCAACAGCCAGGTGGCTTGGCAAGATCAAAAATCACGAAATCCTTTGGATCCGGAAACAAATGTATGTATATATAGGCTCGTCCCTGCTCCTGGAACCACATACGATGGGGTGGGGGGTGGGGTGGGATGTTAACGTTCATGTGAATTAACGTGGGATGTTAACGTTCATGTGAATTAACGTTCATGTGAACTTGCAGAAGTAGTTGATGCTACGCACACGCGGGGTGGGGGTGGTTGGGGTGGGATGTTAACGTTCATGTCAACTTGCAGAAGTAGTTGATGCTACGCACACGCGGGGTGGGGTGGGGTGGGATGTTAACGTTCATGTGAGCTTGCAGAAGCAGGTGATGCTACGCACACGCGGGGTGGGGTGGGGTGGGATGTTAACGTTCATGTGAACTTGCAGAAGCAGTTGCTGCTACGCTCACGAGGATTGGGACAATATATATATATATATCTGAATATATTTACAGAATTCTTTAGATATCTATATATATATATATATTCATCATTTTTTCAATATATATATATTTGAACTTACATATGTGTATGATGATGATGATGATGATGATGATGATGATGATGATGATGATGACCCTAATGAAACTTGTCAATTCCGCGACGAAATTTCGTCACGGAATTGACAAGTTTTACCAACCTAATTCAGGTTTGCGCGGTTCCAAGAGCAGGGATAGGCTCGTCCCTGCTCCTGGAACCACATACGATGGGGTGGGGGGTGGGGTGGGATGTTAACGTTCATGTGAATTAACGTGGGATGTTAACGTTCATGTGAATTAACGTTCATGTGAACTTGCAGAAGTAGTTGATGCTACGCACACGCGGGGTGGGGGTGGTTGGGGTGGGATGTTAACGTTCATGTCAACTTGCAGAAGTAGTTGATGCTACGCACACGCGGGGTGGGGTGGGGTGGGATGTTAACGTTCATGTGAGCTTGCAGAAGCAGGTGATGCTACGCACACGCGGGGTGGGGTGGGGTGGGATGTTAACGTTCATGTGAACTTGCAGAAGCAGTTGCTGCTACGCTCACGAGGATTGGGACAATATATATATATATATCTGAATATATTTACAGAATTCTTTAGATATCTATATATATATATTCATCATTTTTTCAATATATATATATATATTTGAACTTACATATGTGTATGATGATGATGATGATGATGATGATGATGATGATGATGATGATGACGACCCTAATGAAACTTGTCAATTCCGCGACGAAATTTCGTCACGGAATTGACAAGTTTTACCAACCTAATTCAGGTTTGCGCGGTTCCAAGAGCAGGGACGAGGCTATATATACATATATATATATACATATATCCCCACTAAATGGGGCTGTCATGAATTCGAATGGGATCGAGGGAATTCGCCTCTGGTACTCCAAGATTTTCGATAGGTAAATCATCTACAAATGGGGCCATGGCCTTTATAGCTACGTTGGACTATGAGAGGGTAGCTGGTTTGTAAGTATCCCCATCTAAGGCAAAATAATATAGAGTATCAAACTAATCATCTAATACCTACCTCTGATATAGTATTAAACACATTTAAAATCCCTCCAGAAACAATTTTTTTGGTACATATTTGCAGATATTTGAGACCACTTGGGGGGTATTTTAATATAAGGGCAATGGGATTTTCGCAAACTCTTCCACCAAGTTTTAGCCGGCCAAGATGCACCAATTGTCGGATGGATTGCATACGGAACTATCGCAGTCCTTGGCAGCTTCAGATTGCCACTGACCACACTGAGCTGATACGGAAGACTTATATACATTATATTATGTATATATATATATATTATATTATTTGTATATATATATATTATACAATATATATAATATTATCACACATATATATATATAATTTTTTATTGTATCATTTGTATATATAATATTATAACACACACATATATATATACATTGTATATATGATATATATATATGGTACCCCCCCCAAAAACCGACATTTTCAAGATTGTAACGCTTTTGGGATAGTTACCTTGTTCAGTTTGAGATCCAGTGGGGCAGTATCATACATATATATGCATATATATATACACATATGTATATTATTTGTTATCTTACTATTACTAAATCCATGTACTTAGAGTATTTTTTACAAGAAGTATTTGCAAACGTTTGCAAACGCTTGCAAACGTTCCTGATCAGGATTCAAGATTCAAGATTCAAGATTCCCAGAAAGAATTCTTGAATCCAAGGGGATAGGATTCAAGATTCAAGATTCCCAGAAAAACTTCTTGAATCCAAGGGGATAGGATTCAAGATTCAAGATTCAAGATTCCCAGAAAAACTTCTTGAATCCCAGGATTCAAGATTCAAGATTCCCAGAAAGAATTCTTGAATCCAAGGGGATAGGTCTTGAATCTTGAATCCTGGGATTCAAGAAGTTTTTCTGGGAATCTTGAATCTTGAATCTTGAATCCTGGGATTCAAGAATTCTTTCTGGGAATCTTGAATCTTGAATCTTGAATCCTATCCCCTTGGATTCAAGAAGTTTTTCTGGGAATCTTGAATCTTGAATCCTGCCCCCTTGGATTCAAGAATTCTTTCTGGGAATCTTGAATCTTGAATCTTGAATCCTGGGATTCAAGAATTCTTTCTGGGAATCTTGAATCTTGAATCTTGAATCCTATCCCCTTGGATTCAAGAATTCTTTCTGGGAATCTTGAATCTTGAATCTTTCTAAGTACTTGGGTCCCTGGACTCGTTTGCAAACGTTTGCAAACGCTTTTGGTGACAAAATTACTCTAAGTACCTGGGTTCAACAGTAAGACAACAATTAATATATACGTATATATACATATATATTGTACATGAGTTAAATAATGAGTTTGAAGTGGAATTTCATCAGGTAATGGCATTTGTTGAAACAGTTTATCTGCAATTACAATATTACAACTCAAAGCACATTGACAAATAATCACTTGCAGATGTTGATTCTCTTGTCCATATATCAAAAATATTGTTATATGAAAAATATCTTTACATATATTGTTAAATAGTTGAGTTACTAAACTGTCTGCAAGGTTATATGTTTTATATTTTATTAGGTAAGATATAAACTCAATTTCATCTTGTAATGTTTGTTTTAAGACATTCATATATATATATATATATTTTTTGCATCATTAATATCAATTGTTTTTGGTAAAGAGATTTGTGAATTCTTGAGTAATTCATGTGCTATCATTCCATAAAAAGGTGCACAGTATTTTGAAGCCCTTTATAATATTTTTGACAGTGCATGATATTTTAGATGTTGCATATGTTGCATGCAAATATACATAAAATAGGAATGTCTACTTATTTGATTTGGTGATGTAGCAATCGCATCTATATAAGAAAAATGCTTTAGTGCAATATTATATACTTTTAATTTTACAAGTGCTATAAATCCTGCCAAGTTATGTATTTTTATATATTGTCAATATATGTTATATTGTTGCTAGCTTGATTAAGTAATTTGTAGGCAAGAGTGTATTTTTTAAATACTAATAGTTCCCTTGCATAGCATATTCTTAAGTCAGTACAATTTTATTGTCTCTTGAAAAGATGGGTTTAATATAGGAGCTAAATTTTGTTCTATTCTATATGGGTTTAGACGTATATAGATCTTTTCTGGAAAATAAATAATCAAAAATTAATCCTTAATTATATTGATGCTTATTATAATGTTATGATACATGTTTGTGCTTTGAGTATGATTTTGCTTTATTAAAATGCGACATTGCACTATCCTTTTATCCATATCTTTTAAACAACTGAAGAAATAAGAACTATTAAAATTTAATTGGTTTTGTAGTAATAGATTGTCGAGTTTAATTAAGTGATTTTTATAAGATATATATCTAGATATATATTTTCTTGCTAGCGTTTAAAGCAGTTTTGCCAATCATTTTTAATCCAACTATTTATAGCAAGAGCTTTATTTATTTTTATTTTTTGGTAGATTGTAAAAATTGTGTGTATGTAATTAAAACAATAAGCAAGTAGAAAAAAAAAACATACAAAAATAGCATGTTTTAGATATTTTGGCACAATTTGAATCACCAGTTTTTTTTTTCCATCTGTTTCTAGTTCTTCTTCAGAGAATATGGATATATTTATTAGTGGCTCAAAAAATGAAATAACTATGGTGGAAGGATGTGGAATGGAATTTCCAGAAGACAGATTATTAAATATCTTAGATGAGGCTTTAAAGCTTTTTACTCCAGTTCTAAACTTGATATTAGATATGAAATCTAAAATATCAAAAATAGAGTTTATTTCCAATATTCCTCTAGATTCTCATGTTGCTCAACGTAATTGTCAGAAGAAATCGAAAATCACTCCAGTATACTTATTTTAAAAAGCACGCTATTTACTCAGTCTTCAAAACAAGAAAGAGAAAAACGTCGGTTTTGGGGGGGGGGGCTAGCATATATATATATATATATAAATAACAAATATATATATATATATTCATTTGCATCCCCAAAAAGTGGGATTAACCCATTAACATAGGAATTCAAGTAAGCATCGCTTGGGGTCTATAGTTGGTCTCTTATGGGGCCCTAAATCTTGGTACAACCCGAAATCATCATTGCCAGGTTGCTATGGATGTGGGGCTTTTTATGGGGGGATGGGATCTATTCCAAGCGTCTGGATAGCAACACTTCTGTGCCCCCAGCGTTGTCGTTGCGACTGTCGTTGCACTTGTCGTCACCGGCGTCGCGGTCGTCACCAGCGCTGTGGTGCGTGCGGTTGGCGCTGTGGTGCCGGCACAGAATTCTCCACCACAATTTCCTGAGGCGAAACTGCTTGGTGATTGCAGCAGGGGCACTATGGAGCCCAGCGGCGAAGGCACATCTTGATAAACGAGGACCACACTCATACGTATATTATATACATTATACATGTATACAATTGTGTATATTTATATATATATAGATTCCACTATTCATTGGAATATATAGATATACACAGTTTCTTTAACGAGGAATCATCGATGCATATTCATGAGATTGACTCTCAGGGCTGATGGTAGAGAATTCTCAAGTTTTTGTTGTAACATAATGATTGCTTCAATCCCAAGTTTCCAATCTTTTTGACCCATCAACGCGGTGCGGCCTAGCTGAGTCTTCACTCCGTTTCACATGCAGCAAAAAAAAATGGCAGTAACAACCAGACGTTGAACTACGACATACTATGACAATTATGAAAAGACCTAAGTTTGGAATCAACCAATTACAGATTTTACATTATTTTACTCAACTATCCAAGGTTAATTCATGTTTGGCTTTCCCAAACAGCATGCCCATGCCACCTTCCTTTCTGTTCCAAGTATCGACAGTTGTCGGCCGATTGAGTGCAGTAAGGACTGTCCTCTTCAGTGTTACCTGCGGTCGGATCACGATTCAACCAAGAAGGTGAGAGTTATGACTGACCAGCCTCAGCAATGATACCTACCCCTCTGAAAAATATGAGTTCGTCAGTTGGGAGTATTATTCTCAATATATGGAAAAAATTGGAAAACTGTAAAATGTTCCAAACCACCAACCAGGTAACTATTACAAATTATTTGAAAATCAGCCAGCTAAATCCTACACATTGGTGTAGTGAGAACTGGCATGTGGTACTATCATCCATGAAAAGAACGGGCTTCAACAATCAAACATAGCTCCTGAAGAACTTATATCCCTTTCAACCATCAAATTTGCTTGTTTAATGCGAAAACAACCAAATCCTGGAGCGAACTGGGAACATGGGAATGTACTGGAAAAAAACCAAGTCACCAAGTGGATGAGCATTTTGCTGACAAATCTTGTTTTCTAGATGTAAATGATACCCCCTTTTATGAAACTTTCGAGTTTTATCTGGGCGCTGGGGTGATATCTTCCCCAGACTGTAACTCAAACCAACCCTGCAGAACATCGATACCGGGGGGATGGGATTTACACACACAATGGGGAAAAAAGGGTCTTCCCAACAATGACTAATCCAACCATAAACAGTTATGACTTTTTCTACAATCCAATGGCTTCCTCGTTTGCCACGTTTTTTTGCTTGAAAACATCATGGTGGATTAGGCTTGCTGGGCATTAAAACTGCCAGAGATGCGACAAAAACATTGGGTTGGTCTTTTGGTATGTAGCGGTTTCCTGTATGTTTATGTCTTCGCCCAACAAATGGTGGCAGCCACTTGGGGGTTTTGTGGAGGAATCATCCAAGATATTGCTCATTGTTCATGTGAAATTCCCGTATTGGGTAGCAGTTTGAGAAACACCCACATTCAGGATGGTTGCTTCTATCATTGCCAATCATAGATACCCTGCCAAGAACGAAATTCTTAGCTGGTGAACGTAGATAATCCCATACCAAAAGACTAGTTAGGACTAGTTTCTACCCATCTAAGATTGACCTAGTATCAGTAATTTAGTAGATATTCCAGCCAAAGATGAACGGATTACCCTCTGGTAAACTAACATAGCTATTGAAAATGGCCATAGAAATAGTGGATTTTCCCATTAAAAATGGTGATTTTCCATAGCTTTTTGTATGTTTACCAGAGGGTAAACGAATCATCCAGTTGGTTGACCCAGCAACACTGTTGGCTCCGAAATGGCTCGGCATGGCTCGGCTGATCTGTTGACTTTTCGCTTCAAAAATACCAAGAGATGAGGGGACTCCAAATCATCCAAATGGGGATGGGTCAAAACCTTGTACCCCTGGTGAACATCAAAATAGCTGGTAAATGGATGTTCATCCCACTAAAAATGTATCTATAGGTATTGACCCATACCCATGTGGAAACTAATGATCCAATGGTGAAAGGTGGTAGCCGCGGTAGCCCGTAGACCCAAAAAATACCACGAGATTCCCATTTTATCACCTGGGTTCCCCAAAAACCACAGGTTTCAATACTAATTCGTGGGCATGACTTGGATTAAGTGTGGGTAGCCCTATGACTTCGGAAACCTCCATAGATTTTTTGGGACTTAGATCATAACCTCGAATGGATTGATTTACGGTAAAATCTTAACTGGAAACTATAGAATTTTCAGATTATTATTGGGTTTTTCCTGTAAAAATTCCCAACCAATCCATTGACTATTATTAACTATTAACCACTATGAACCATTCTTAGCCACTTTTAACTGGTTGGTGGTTTTAACCCCTCTGAAAAATATGAGTTCGTCAGTTGGGATGATGAAATTCCCAACTGAATGGAAAGTCATCAAATTCATGTTCCAGTCACCACCAACCGGTTAATCATTGTTACCCTCTGGCAAACTAACATAGCTATTGAAAATTGCAATAGAAATAGTGGATTTACCCATTAAACATGGTGATTTTCCATAGCTATGTTAGTTTACCAGAGGGTAACCATTCTCAACCACCAACCAGTTACCACTTCGAACCTCAGAACCCTCGAGCTCCAGGGTACAGCTCTGCGCATCGCCGCAGTTGGGATAGCAACACGTTGGTTCTTCGGTCGGTGAAGTCGTGCTGGGCGCTTCGGTGGTCGTGCTGGGCGTCGGTGAAGTCGTGCTGGGCGCACCAGGCACCTTGGAAGCTTCGCTCTGGGGGTTTCCATCCGTCGTATTTCATGACCAGCTATTTTTTGGGGGGGAATTTGAGCTACCCGACCTGATAAACGTTTACAGTTTGCTATTGAAAATTGCCATTTATATATAGTTGATTTACCCATACATGGGAATTTAGGCCTAATACTGGTTGGTGGTATACCTACCCCTCTGAAAAATGATGGAGTTCGTCAGTTGGGATGATGAAATTCCCAACTGAATGGACAAAAAAAAATGTTACAAATTATCCAGAACAATGGGGTTTCATGACTCACATTTGTAAAATCATGGCATACAATGGGATTATCCAATATGAATGGAATATCAATGGACCTATAGTGGGATGTGATTGAGATAGATTGGGAACATGGAATCATTGACTCACCATGGAATAATACCATTGTACGGGAAAATGATGATTCTATGGAAGCACTCCAATATTGAGCAAACTAGGAAAAACCATGGGAACTGAAACTAGGGACTCGGGGATGATATCATCAATGATACAGTGGGGACCAGCGAAATGTGAGCACAATTAGGATGTAATGGGAATATTGTGGGCATACAATGGGAGTATAATTGGGATACCCTCTGGTAATTTAACATAACTATGGAAAATCACAATTTTTCATGGGAAAATCCACTATAAATGGCCATTTTCAATAGCTATGTTAAATTACCAGAGGGTAAGTTCAGTATACTAGCCGCTTCTAGCCCAGTCCTTTTGGAACCCTTCTTGTCTCACTTGTAACCAAGGAAACATAACCAGCAACTGGGATGAGCCACCAAGTATCAACAATGGGATGACATCAAGAATTACCCAGAAATACCGATCACGGGATCACTCGACATCCAAAGAGGGAGAATTCACCAGTCATAGATATCTAGCAAACCATCTATGAATCTCTTACCCCTCTATGGTTTTGGGGCCATAGAAGACCATCAGGGCTTTGAAGATCGCTGAAACCTGGAGAGATGTTTCCTTTTTCAGCAGCCTGAAATTGTTGGGCAATTTCAAGATAGTTACCTGTATCCTTAATTTCTCAGTGGAACATGGCAAAAATCATTCTTTAGACATGGCAAAAAAAATCAAAAAAAATATCCAATGGAACTATGACTTGGGATTCACTTTGTTTTTGGATATTTGTTTTTGGATATACCAGCATTGTCGCGGCTCCTTTTGTGATCCTCGTCTACTGGTTGAGGACCGGCTACTTCCATCATCCAACCATAGAGATCAGCTGGTCCTATTGACCAGCATCAAAATCCATCCCAAATTCACGAAAAAAAAATGTTCACATCCACTAAACATTGATTTTTAGTGAACAGTTTGATGATCATTGGTTCAATCTACTGGTTCGAAACTAAGAATCTGTTCAAAACGCATTGACTGCTTCGTTTTAACCCCTCTGAACAACATGTCAATATGAATCATTGAGGATTACTGTCCCATGTTGGTCTGAAAATCAAAAACAATTGAAACCACCAACCAGATTGAACATCCAGCGAACACCATGAAAAACCCCACATTAAACCAGGTTAAACACCATGAATACCACATGAAAGCCCTGAAATCAACCAATGTTTTTGATGTTTTTCCACCTTCCCAACCACCCAGCACTTCCGCAGCACTTCCGCAGCACTTCCGCGCCTGCCCGCAATGGTCACCGCACTTCCAGGGGAAGCGTTGCTTCAGCTTAGGCAGCATCACTGGAGACAGGTGCTGCGCAAAGTGAAGGTGCCCCTCCCTGAGCGCTGCTGAGCGCTGCTGATGGATCGTGCGGAACTTGAAACTAGTCCTGTAGGGTTTTACCAGCATGTATATCATGTATGAATAGATATCTTAATGGCAATAAACATGGTATATACATGTATATATATATACATAGATAATAACATGGATTTACCCCAAAAAGGGGAATATCTCTATGTAATTCTTATAATCTGGCAACAAGCTGGAGTTCTTTTTTCAATTTTTGTTCGCATGATATTCCCATCATATTGCCATTCATATGGTGAACCCCCCCATGCTTCATGCAATAAAATCATTCTTGTTGGCTGATACCCTCTGGTAATTTAACATACATAGAAACATGTCACAACCAAAACTGGGTTAATCATGATTAATAGTGATTGATAGTGATTTATAATTATTGATAGTGACTATTCAGGATATACCTTCTGGTAATTTAACATAAATAGCTATAGATGGCTATAGAGAATGGCCCAGTTCTAAATTATTTACCTTTTAAACAAGGATGATTGTAGCTATGTTAAATTACCAAAGGGTAATCATTCTGCTTAGAAAAACTGATTTATTTAGGTTATCTCGTCTAGACATGGATGATAACTATGGTGATTGAATCTCATTAACCTCTTACTGAGTGGGATGATCCTGGATATTGTTGGTTGATATAACCCGGTCTACTTCCCTATAAAATCAATTACTCTCTGGTAAACTAACATAACTATGGAAAATCACCATTTTTAATGGGAAAATCCACTATTTCGATGGCCATTTTCAATAGCAAACTGTTTGTTTACCAGAGGGTAGACTCCATGAAATCCCCTTTTAGTTCATATTTTAACCACCACTGCTCCAGATCGGAGCCAGGTACTGGGTTGGATGAAAGGTGTCCACGTAGTCCTTCTGGCAGTCCAGCCAGGGATGAGTTGCGGAGCCTGTGGAAATCACTTCCACATCAGGACCGGCCGCAGCCACCTGAGATCGACAGGGGCAACGGGGAAAAAACAATCGGTGATAAAGAATGGGAATATCGAAGGGATGTTTTATGAGAATTATTGGGGATCCGTTTGTCGATGTTTTTTTCTCACTGTATGAATCAATCATCCTCATTCATCCACATTAGTCGATATTGGGCATTGCCAAAACTGGGATACAAACTACCCTCTGGTAAACAGCCACATAACTATGGAAAATCACCATTTTTAATGGGAAAATCCACTATTTCTATGGCCGTTTTCAATAGCTATTTTGACATAACCAGAGGGTATCAGCCAACATGGAGAAAAAACAAAAAAGGGGATGCTTGTGGGACGGTGATGGGGGATTCAGTTTTTTTTTTTCTGAGATGTTTGCTGACTTTTTAGATGGTTTGCTGGTGGAATTTATTGTGGAAATCATGAAAGGGAATTATTGTGGAAAGGGATTGTCATGGGATTATCGAGATTTTTCTGGGTTTCACATGAAGGAATTGCGGGAACTGGATGGAATGGGTTGGTTTTTCTTCAAGATGTTGGCAATATACAATCCTCATTTGACCTGGATTTTTAGCTTTATGGTGAGGTTCCCGAGTGAGGTCGTTGTCATCCCCAATTTCGATTGCTTTGGTCCCCACATTCTTACTGTAATCGCAAATGCTTGGAAATCAAAAACCAATGTTTGGTCAAGCCGGAAGCAATCGTTTCCCGTCCCAATCTATTTTTGAAAGATTTTAAAATCACTACCCTCTGGTAAACTAACATAGCTATTGAAAATCACCATTTTTTATGGGAAAATCCACTATTTATGGTAATTTTCAATAGCTATGTTAAATTACCAGAGGGTAAACCCCAGCTTTCAAAATTCACATTTCCATGGCAGCATCCCAAGGACTTTCAAGGCACGGCTTTGGTGATTCCATCAATCATCTTTTGCCACTTCGCTTCCAGCTGGCAGCTCTGCGCCAGCGGAACGATACCTCAGAAAGAAAGCACCGGATTTTCCAGTTCCAATGGGGACCCAAATTCTAGAAATGGCCAATCTTGGAGACCCCAACCAATGATGAAAGAATAGCTGAATAGCTTAGGTTAATATATCATATTATATCCCCATATTTTATAGCATATTATTATGGTGAGTAGTAACGATTGGCTGGTTTGGCTAATATCTTCCGATTCTACAGGACAAAAATGGACAAAATTAGTGTTAGTACTAAAGTTTCCAAGGACCAACATGCCAACATGGCTTATGGTGATCTAAGTCACCATAGTAAAGCTGGTTTAGTGAATCTTAAATAGAGGTGATTGCGTAATAAGAGATCTTAAGCAACAAAAATTAGGTGGTGAAAGCCATAGCTGATGGTGGAACCCTCAACCCCAAACAAACCAATGGGGGCAACACCCATTGGTTTCGTCGATCAGGACGCACAGAAACCCGTGAATAATATCTAGATAAATTATCATAATTCTCCAACCGGAAACAAGGTCGTTATAACTTATCCAGATCATTTTAAATAGGTATATTCACCAAGAACAAACTTTGATAGCTACCAAACATCATATCCATGCCCCCAATGATCACAGGCAGGCCTGGCCTTCACAAACCATCCTGAGCCAATGATGCCACAATTTCTATCCCTTATGTCCTTTCATTCAGCGGTAGTTCCTGCTTCCCCAAAGCATCATTTATGGCAAAAATTGAGACCTCGATACTGCTCCCCGGAAACGATCCCATCTTTAGCAAAATCAGGCCTTATCATCTCAAGTTCCCATTTAGGATTGTCTGAAAATAGGGGATGCCCCCAGTTATCATCCATTTTTGATGGGGATTTTCCCATGGATTTTCCATCCCTTTTGGGGTACCCCCACGACTTGGCAAACTGACGCCAAGATGCAAAAGATAAGGGCACCAGGGTACTTGCTGCGAACAATCTGGATCAGTTCAAGATAGGCCTTGCAGATTTCAAGTCTCCATTTGAGCAAAATCATCAAATTATTGCATTCCTTGGCCAACTAATCTCCCAGTATACATATCCCAATATATTGTTCCCCTTTATATCCAAAGTGTATACCCTCTTGAAGTTCCAACCTTCTTGCTTTCCTTCTTGGCTTAGCACTTCCAGCTATAAGTGGATATTTTTCTCCATATTTGTACAGGATGGGGCCCCCGTTCGATAGCGTTCAGTTGCCGAACATAAGTGGTTTAACTATGGTTTATGGTAGATATAACGAACTAGTATTCATGGGCTTTATAAACCAACATTCACATCCTGTAGGGGTGAACAAAAACAACCTATGGAATTCTGGAAGGTTATTACCATCCCATGGTTATACCCGTGTATCACCTCTGACCTGCACTCCCAAGTACAGGTAATATCGTTCATTGACTATCATAATATACTCATTATTTATATGTAATTATCACATATATCTATATATCGTTTATTCATATGGTATGTATGTATATATATATATATGTATATGTGTATATGTATATATGTATATATATATGTATATATATGTATATATATGTATATATATGTATATATATATATATGTATATATATGTATATATATATGTATATATACATATATATATACATATGTGTACATATGGTGTATGTATATATATATATATATGATATAATCTTCAGATGTCCAAGTGGTCCCGGCCTTTTCGAAGTCTGCTTCCGTGGGGTCCACGAAGACAAAGTCGTTGGTGCCGAGGTTCAGAACCACCACGTCCGCCTGCCTCGGACTTCGGGTGAAACTGGTGAAGTGAGGCAACTATGAGACATGGTGAGACATGGTCAATCTTTGGTTAAAATGACATATTTTGTTAGTGGTGAGACAGGGATGTCAACCATTTAATGGTGAGACTATGACTACAAAATGGTCATGGTATCATGGTCATCTTTCATCTTTTATATCTGTTGCTGTTTTTTTTGGTTAATATTACAGTTTTGTTACCAGGTTTCATTATTTTATGTTTCCATTTATTTTTGCACAAAACTCCACCGTGACATTTGAACATTGGCCATCCAGTTGGGGATGGATCCCCGTTTGGGGATGGATTCCCGCAAGACGATGCTGCCAGCAGGTTATAACGGTTGCTTAAAAAAACACATCTATGGATATATCTACCATAAAGAACCATAAACTATATAGTTAATCAGAGTTGATCTATTTAGAAGTTCCATTCAATTCCCATGTTTTTAATAGGTAGCCCCCCATCTTACCTTCCGCCCTTGAGGTCACCGCCACTCGTCAAAGTCCCATAGCCTTTGACAGGGCTGATACATGGTCAGTTCTGAACCTCAGCAGAAGCATTCATGGGAATATCACCTGCTTGGTGGTTATTATATGGTTATTATATGGTTATTATTAATGGTTAATGATGGTGAATCATAACCTGCTTGGTGGTATACCCACCCCTCTGAAAAATCATGGAGTGAAAGTCAGTTGGGATTACTATGAAATTCCCAACTGTTTCTGGTTCCAGTCATTCAAAATTCCATGGTTCCAGTCAGCACCAACCAGTAACGTATAGATCCAAGTAGCTTCTCAGGAAGTACCTGTGGATCTTCGTTTGTTTTTTTTGTCCCCTGGAAGTATCTGGATCTACAGGGATATGCCACATATTTTTGGATGACTATCGCACATTTGCCCAGGAAGATACATTAAAAATGGACCATGTTGTGCACCTGGAGCAATTACGTTGCCTCGCCTGAAATCGCGACTACAGCGAGAAGCTGATGGTTTCACATGGAAGTTACCAAAACTGCAATTTTGATTGGACACATGTCCAGTTTTTCGTATATTGGTTTCTATGGATATATATTCATGGTTTGAATCCTCCGGAATTGGAGATGAGATACTCCATTTTCAGACCCAGCTGCACAACAAGTTTTGCTGATTATTAGGATGAAGTAATATGGCATCATGATGGGCTAAAGGGCTACCACATACTCAACAGTTGACGTGCCAATGGTTCCCTCTGGTAATCTAACATAGGGACAACCAGCACTTAAAATCACGGTAAATCATCGACAAAGTCTACATACGGGCTTTTAAAACTTTCCTATAGCAGCATAGCTAAATCATCTACAAATGGTCCATATGATCTATAATAGCCATATACCAGAATAGCTTTTGTGATATATTTTAGTTTATTATCTGTTAATTGTATGTTATTTACATTTTGATTATCTTGCATTTTTTTCCATACCATCCTGATACTAGATGACCAAAGGCTAAGTTTTGAGCTTTTTGTATCTGGGTGGTCCTCCGTTGTCCGAGGTGCACAGAAATTGATCCTTCATCGCCTTGAAACTCATTCCATAGCTGTTGTGAGGGAGAACAGCAATGCCTCATGCGCAAGCGCCACGTCAACCAATGTCAGGTGAAGATAGGTGAATTTTGCTGCAGTAAACGCATGGTTATCACGGTTCATTAACCATGGTTTTTTGGCACATTGTGGAAGAACGTAAGTCGATATGATGTGGATCTCAGGTACATTCAGTGGGGCCCCCGTTGTTCCGATAGCGTTCAGTTGGTGCGTTTATAACTCCAATTTCACTATGGTTTATCTATGGTTTATAGATGTTTATAGGTGATGATATATCTATAATAGTTTATATCCATAAATATCCATATATCTCCAATAACTATGGTTTATGGTACCTATAACGAACTAGTATTCATGGGGTTTATAAACCATCGTTCACATCACGTTTGGGGGCCCCACATTGTAGTGTAAATTGACGCCATGACCACAATAAACACTGGCGTGACCTTCGCCCTTCAGGATGCCCAAAGTTCGCCATGGCGTCTCTACCAGGCATCAGGGATACCCTGTGATTCTGAGGGTATACCCTCTAGTAATTTAACATAGCTATGGAAAATCACCATGATTAATGGGAAAATCCACTTTAAATGGTCATTTTCAATAGCTATGTTAAATTACCAGAGGGTATGACTATCCCCTAAGATTGATATGCCCCATGTAACATCAGTGCGACCACGAAATCCAAACTGCCTGGGTTCCGCCAAAAAAGCCTTGCTAACTTAGGGTGCAACTCTGGCCATACCAAGGTGGTCAAAGATCACCGAAGATATGAATTTCAATGGACAAAGATTAGAAGACCAATCTCCAACCAAACGTGGTTGACGTGGCGTGATCCATCCACCATTAACCGATGATTTTCCCAGCTACCTCCATGCAAATAAGTCCATGATCCCATCAATATGCCATGAACAAATATCCCACTTATTCTGCCATTATCATATCCCATTATTAGGTACATCTTCAAAACATGTTCACTTTTTGAATCACCATTCTTCTATTTTATGGGGCGTTATTTACCAATGAACCTCCATAGTTGATGGTGAAATCCCATTAAGATCCCATTAAATTCTCCATGTTCACACGGCTGTGTTTGAAAATGTTGAGAGCTATGAGGTTCCGGTTCGCGTGAAATGGATTTTGGGAGCTTTTTGCAAAACCATTTCAAGACAAACCCATGTGCCGTTGGCAAAACATGCTACATTTATTAGTATGTATATATATATATAATGTATATATATATATATAATGTATATATATATAATGTATATATATATATAATGTATATATATATATGTATACATATACGTATATATATATATATGTATTTAAGTATATATATATATGTATTTAAGTATATATATAATATGTATTCTTGTATATGTATAATCTATATCATGGCTTCTGCTCATCCGACCATCATTAGGAATTCCTCATAATGGGTATATTACAGTACCCCCTACTGACCACCCACTAATATCGGCAATTTACTTCAGTTTTGACCATGGCACACATGTTGATTATGTTAATCAGATTCTGTTCTCACGATTTATCTGATTTATCTCCATTTTATCCAAGTGAATTTTGGTGTGTAGCCCCAATAACAACATCCCAATAAACATCCCAGTCACGCCATGAAAGCGCATCAAATAGGATGGATCATCCGAACATATCCCACAGAAGGATGGGAATGCCTTCCTCATTGTTGTTCATCTCCACTGTTAACAACTCAAAAACAATACCATTTATAAGTGGCTTAAATCAAGTGGTTAGATCTCCATTTTCTCCATTTTTGGATTTAAATACCCACTTCTGTTTTTTTTTTTTTTTCAATTCAGAAATTCATGTCATTTTTGCCGATGACATTTCCCGTTTGACGTGGCATATGGTTAATCATCTATCATAGATGAACATGGCTTTGCCTCAAAATCTACTGTTTCATCATCATTTTTCCCAAACTTGCAATTTCTTTATGGTATAATGTGGAAACAACAATAATAAACCACCCATGTGGGAATGGTTCAAGTCCCACCTATAAAAATGGTGATGACTGGGGGATGGTTTATGATTGTTTTACCAACGCTATACCATTTTGTTTACCACAAACCCGAGATATTCACAGCACCCAGCTACTGGATTGCGCAACCGTGCGCCAGTTGCGCGTTCCCCAAGCGTTCGCCTCGAGAGCATACTGGGAATGTACTGTGTGTGGGAATCAACTTGGCACTCAGATATAACAGTGATTTATCCCTGAAGTAGGATTTACCTTTTCTATCTTTTTGGCTATGGATACAATACCTATAGATATATATATATACATATGTATATATATATATATACATATGTATATATATATAGATACAATGTGTGAATGGGGATGAACATCCATAAATCCCAGCTATTTTTTGAAGTGAACTACAGTGGTACAGGGTTTTGACCCATCCCCATATAATCCCATCCCGCAAACATTTCATATTGTTTGATATCTCATTGGGATAACATGGGATGACTATATACTATATATTGAACAAACAATGGTGGAAAATGAACATATATCTATCATTGTTATAGGGATATACAATGGTATAATGTTATATAACTATTATAGAACAATATCAAGTATCATTGTTTATCTTATATGGTATATCAGTGTTATATACCATTTATAATACCATTTATAATGTTTAGGGATATACATATCTCAAAGTACCTAATATTGAAGATCCAGAAACCATGGGGGATGTAGGGGGATGAAACCACATCATTGGGACCTTTTTTTCATGGGGCGATGGGATTAGTGTGTGATTAAAAAGATGTGAACACTATATGATGTAATATCCCATATATCATTACTATAATGTAAAATCCCATATTACTAATATCCCATATTAGTGTGAATCCCATATACGATGTATATATAATATGGGATATAGCTTGTATAAAACTCACCAACAACATGATGTTTGGGATTGCTTGTTCCTCAAAAATGTGAATACACCTCATTTTGGATGGCAATGGCAATTTTCATGGCCATGATGTTTTTTTTTTTGCACTCGAAAGTTGGCGAAAGTAACTTCCGGGGGTGCCAGCAGGTAAACCACTTGCAGAATGAATTGGTCTGGTGGATTAACAAGTATATTAAGAGTAAATTGTATATTACTTGCCCATTAATACATTATGCAACACATACTGTAAATATCAATTATATAGTATATTACAGAGCAATACAAGCCCATTCGTTGAAGTTAACCAATTGGAGATGATTTCTGGTGGATATCAACACAGTGGTCCGGATTAGTGGCTCCAAAACTGGTCTACCTCGTGGCCACCTGGCGTTCATATTTCGATCTGTTTGTCCAATATACACAATGATATCCCAATCATATTCGATGAGATCCTAGTTGTATTTCCATATACCCAACATAGACCCATAAAATACCAATATAGATACCAGCATTTTCATAGTACCCAACTATATTCCCTCAAAAAACATGGCATATACTCATACAATGTGGGCCCCAGTTATAAATTGCTTTATAGACACCATGAATACTCTTCATCCGTTCTTTAAGCGTATCATGAAAAAACCATCGGATGATTGGAGGATTTTTTTTTCAGCCACCAACTGAACGCAATTTTGTTTGGGGGCCCCACCTTAAGCAACTAATGGCTAGTCATACTCCAACTTCTGATTCTAACAGCTTATCTGGTTGGTGGTGTACCTACCCCTCTGAAAAATATGAGTCAATGGGAAGAATTATCCCATATATTATGGAAAATATGAAATGTTCCAAACCACCAACCAGTTATGGATTCCACGAAAAATCCCCAGGAATAGATCCAAGAAATCCATCATGGAAATCCATGGCCAGGGGACTAAGATGGCCGCCCAAGTCTTGAAGACATCTTCCCATCCTCGGTGAACTACGAGCTTTGTATCTTCGTGTTGGTAAAATCCTTTTTTCATAGTGCCTAACGATCATATGGTTTAGTAGTTCATTAATGTAGTTGCTACTAGTGGTCTTAGTAATGGTTTAGTAGTTGTTAATAATGGTAGATAATGGTTAAAATGGGGATCGTTTAAAGGATAAATGGGGTTATACACCTTATTAAAATTTTGGTTTGAAGGACGAGTTTAATTGGAAAATCTATATGGAACATCTATACAGGATGGGGCTGCCAAGATAGCTAAGAGTTGCCTTAGAGAAGCTGTTTAACTATGGTTAATGGTAGATATAACTACAGTGTATTATAATCCAACAATTCATGCCTAATAATGGGCTAATATCAGATTCAAGTAACCAACATCACATGAGTGGCAGACAAAATTACTTACTACTCGCAATGGACATGGCCAAAGTGGCTGGTCCCCTATTTTGTCTTCTACTAATTTTGTCGGTTACTCACATGAACTTTTACTGAATCTACTGATATAAACAGATATAGAATTCACACATCCCCAAGATGAGCATCTCTTTACTAGGAATCACTGGCTCCCAAGCTTGGAGCACAAAAACGCGTCTCAATTCTCAAGGGCTCGGCTGTCATGCCATTCCAATGCACCTTGGGAGGGTCTGAAACCCCACATGCCATTGATGCCATTGAGCTTCCACATCTCTGTTAGTTTACCCCGGGCTATGATGCATAGCCTGGGGGGAACACCTCGCCACAAATCCTCGTGGCAAACCATAGCTAAGTTAGCTTATAATTAGATGGCAATGATTGTTTTTGGTAGATATGTCTATACTTACCTTCTTGTAATTTAACAGTTTGCTATTGAAAATGGCCCATTTAGTTCGTTGATTTACCTATGAAAAATGGTGATTTTCCATACTTATGTCAGTTTACCAAAGGGTAGTCATCAAAACTGGTTTTTACCCCCAATTTATGGTCATTTTACATGGAAATATAGGAAGTTTCTTAATAATTAGTTGATTTACCTATTAAAAAATGGTAATTTTCCATATTGTATGTTTACAAAAGGGACATGGATGATTTTCATGGTGACAAACCAAACATATCTGGTTGCGCCACCACCAGTCGCAAGTCGTCCAAGTTTCGTGGTCCATCCTCTGTGGCGCCCCTTTGTGCCAAGGCCTACGCTCGAGACGAAACTGGTCAAATCCACAGCAACATGGTAAGGACTGGAATCTGATTCTTTTCTGATCGAAATCCTCATTTTTCAAACCCAAGTTGTCGCAAAAAAAAATCCCTCTCATGTGGGGATGGGTCAAGACATGTCAAAACCCTGTACCCCTGTTCACATCAAACTAGCTGAGATTTATGGATGTTCATCCCCATTCACACATTGTATCTATAGCTATTGATCCATAGCAATGTTTTCGTGACCGAAATCCTCATATTTTTCTGAACTTTCTATTTGTCTGAACTTTCATCACTTGAATCCCGAGTTTTCGCTTCAATTCCCTCTTTTCATGTCTAAAATTCGCCCCTTTTCACAGTAAAAGAACCGCCACAACGAGCAGCCACCTGATATCCCGCCGTGATGGAGTCACCTAGAAACTCCACGGCCAGCTGTCCGCTGGGTCGTGGGGGTGACAGCGTCACAGCACCTGCTGGGCATTGTAAAAACCAGAAATGGGGGATCTAAAAACTGATTTAACGGGTATAATAATGGGATATAGTAATATAACTGATTATATAACTGGTATATATACGTATATAGAACTGATCTTTCTCTACATTGAGGATGTATATAATTGGTATATCTGATATAACTGATTATAGGGATATTTACTGGGATAATAATGGGATATAGCAAGGGGATAAAAAGACTGATTGAAGTTGTTCATCGAATCAAAAAGATATCAGTTTGTAAACACCACAAACACCAAGGATTTTTAAAACTATAAAACTGATATTTTCCTGATAAGATGGGGGTTTACGGGGATATTGGGATATTTCAAAATGAGATGTAACAATGGGATATAATATGATGTAAAAATGGTATATGATATGAAATGATATGATATAATAATATATAATGGGATATTATATGGTGTAAGAATGGGATATAACAAATGATTTACTGGGATTGATAGCTGTGCGGTGGGTAATCATGTGATAAATATGGGATATAACCTAGCAAGAATTGAGTTTAAGTGAGGCCCCCTTTTATGATAGCTGAGTTGCCTTATTATAAGTGGGTTAAGAGTTAAGTGTTTGGTTGATTATGAACTACTTGGTAATGAGTTTACAAACCAACTTGTAACTGGGAACCCTCACCTTGCACCGGAGGTTTCTAGCTGGAAAGTCATCTATGAATGAGGGGGAGCATCCTATTTTTGCTGGAATGGCAGGGTCAAACGGTAGTTCACTTGAGGGCCATGCTGATTAAGTGAACCATCAATATGAGTTTGATACCAGTACAAACTACTATTCATATTGCGTTATATGATACTATATGACAGTGAATAGGTTATATGTCTAATACTTGGTGGTTAATCCCATGAATGATGTGATATACACTGGATTGCCTAGCATATGTATGTACACATTACGTCAGTATGTTTCCTGCATGGCAAATCTTAAATGCCTCGCGCAAAACTTTCTTTCCTGCTGGTTTTGTGTATTCCTGCAATTGAAACAACAACAATAACCCATTAAACTACTGAACCAGTTTTAAGGTGATGAACATTTATGTGTGTTTACACAGGTCCCGGGCTTTTTGCCCATAGCAATACATCCAGCGGCCAATTCAGCCAAAGAAGTTGTATTAACAATTCGGTTTATAGGAGGACATCTCAGACATGATACCAAACATCACGTACTCAATCAAAATAAATAACACAAGAATGTCAAACAAAATGTTTCCCCATGTGGATATTCCCATCATTGCTAGTGCATTCCATCCCAAAAAAACTAGCCACCGCGTGACAACTTCGCCTTCATCGACCAAAAGGGCATCTAAGATCCTTAGGAGCTCATGGGTGCGACTCATGGGTGCGACAGCAGGAAACACACCTGGATTGCAATCTATAAAACATAATATAGTACAACAAACAAATAATGGGAATACTGTATCAACGGCATTGACTGTTATAATCATTTTTTTGCTATTACATCCTATATTAAGTAGGGGTGTCTATCGTTTCCATAGCACCAACCCAGTGAATCCAGAGACTCTTCAAGGGAGACCCCCTGCTAGTTGACAACTCTGGCATATGTGCCATGCTCAAGTTACATGGGATCAATGGCATTAATGGTCGTCCATCCCATAATGGGAATCTTTACAATGGGTATATTATGATATTATGGATTATTATGGCATATTAATCCCACTTAATCCTTATGAAAATTGGATTGATGACTATGCTCCAACGTGGACAATCCAACTTGTGACCGTGGCGCAAATGATTTCTACGACACTAACGCTATTGATTCCAGTCCTGGCAAATGTTTCGATCAATCACCATCCTCGTGGCTTGGTCGCCCCTGTAAACGCGCAGTTTTACTGACGCCAAACCCAAAGGCACGGATGTTTTTTGTGCAGATTTCCCCACGTGGATCAGTGTTTGGGGTGGGGTAGGGGGGATGTAATAGCCTTCCTCGGCACTTGTACTCGCGTGATGCTACGTTATATTGATGCTACGTTACAGATGGGGTGGGCTGGGCTGGGGTCGGGGTGCCTTGGCACTTGCACTCATGATGCTAAGCTACGTTCATGCTACGTTGTAAATACCGGTGCATGGATTGGGCTAGATGCAAATCGTTCCCTCCCTGACATCAAGTTTGGTTTTAAAATTGTTTGAAAACGACATGCCGGAAGAGACAACCTGTGGTTGAAACTATCCAAATCGGCAGGATCCACATCCTCGTCCAGGAATTCGGTATCGTTCCAGCTTGTAATGGTACGAGGAAGTTGTGCAATTTTACCTTCCTCGTAACTCTGCAAACCGGCGTACCTCAAAGACGCCGCGTTGACGTTGGACATAGTTGCCGTTTTGATGACTTCCAGCCACACAGGAGAAGACACAGGGTCTGGTCTCCAGGTTTCACCATTCGGACCTGGTGGGAACAACAATCGATCTCCGGCTCTCAAGTAGAGCGTGGAGTTGGCGGTGGCTAGGGCACTGTAATCCAAATGCCTTTACACACACAAACGCTTTTACACACAGACCCTTTTACACACAGATGCCTCTACACACACAACGCTTTTACACGCAGAACCTTTTATACACAGATGCCTTTACACACACACACACAGACACAAACGCTTTTACACACAGACCCTTCTACACACAGATGCCTTTACACACACACAAACGCTTTTACACACAGACCCTTTTACACACAGATGCCTTTACACACACACACAGACACAAACGCTTTTACACACAGACCCTTTTACACACAAATGCCTTTACACACACACAGACACAAACGCTTTTACACACAGACCCTTTTACACACAAATGCCTTTACACACACAGACACAAACGCTTTTACACACAGACCCTTTTACACACAAATGCCTTTACACACACACAGACACAAACGCTTTTACACACAGACCCTTTTACACACAAATGCCTTTACACACACACACAAACGCTTTTACGACCCTTTTACACACAAATGCCTTTACACACACACACTTTTACACGCAGACCCTTTTACACACAAATGCCTTTACACACACACACACGCACAAACGCTTTTACACGCAGACCCTTTTGGCCACCCTTTTTCCCAATTTTCTGTTGCTGAAATCATACCAACCCTCCGCCACGGCGATGCGGCCGTGCCACGTGGCGCCGTAGTAGGCCTCCGTGTTGCGGCCGCAACTGATGCTGTAAGTGGCGGATTTGTCGAGGTTGCTGGCGATCACCAGGTCCTTGTTGGAGACATCTGAAGCCGAAACAATTCGGTTTTATAAGTTTTTTCTGTGTACATATATATATATGTATATATATATATAATATACACGTATATACATTAGGGATTTGTATAACATATGGATAATTTTATCAGGGATAATATATTTAACTAAGAGATGCATGTAATAAATACATATGAGACAATGTATTATATTTTTTTTTACAAAACACTTATACAACTATGTGTATGAATGCTAGAAAAAACTCTTCAGAAAATATGGCGATTGGTGGCATCTTAAAACGATAAGCCAACAAAGGGATGAACAAACACTAAATCAAGAGTGAGAGCGATAATTTATTGGACGAAACGGGACACCAACGTATGCAAACACAACGACAATAATTCACTGGCAAGGGACTTGAGAAATTGTACAAGTAGCTGACCACTGATGAGGGTACAATGGATAATGTGTACCTAGAATCACCAATGACAGGGAGACATTAGGGCCTTTAGGGGAAACCCACACAGAAGGAATAAGAGCATCACCCGTGAATTCACATGTTCCCGAACTGTTATATATACACTTCCCAGCAACTTGATGATGGTTGGTTGACATGCTGATGTGGTTGACATGATGCTGGGAATGCTAACCATGACAATCGTCCGTACCTCGGAAGTTTTCTAACTAAACTTCCTTTGCCTAATACCAAAGATTATCCAATATTTTCGCACAAGTTCCCACTTATTGTTTCGTGTTTGCCCTCGTTTACCACATTCTCCCCATATTTGGTTGCTTCAATCCCTATCATATCCCAATATTTGGGGTTAAACCCAGGGTGTTTATTATATATTACTATGATTGTCATCGCAATATTTTTTGGGGTTCTTTTAACCATATTATGTATACAGCCAAGTAATCCTATATGTCCCTATATGGTTAAAGGTCTGTATTGGGTGTTCGTTTTTGCGAACCTGTTTTTCGGGGCCAAAATCCTCAACGTATGCCTTGCATAAAGTGGCATCATTTTGTACAGTCCCCTCTTATATAAAGGAGCAGCACTTCTTTGAAAGGAATAAGGTTATCTTTAAAGAGACTCACAGTTTTAAAGAGGTAATCTATGCAAGGAGGACAGTATGATTTGAGAATGGAATTCTGTGAGTATCTATTTAAAATCACTATGTCACTATGGTATTGAAAAAAGAAGTTGTGTTGGAGCAAGTATGGGCAGCCCGCTTCCTTCACGAGGGGGTGAACCATTTAAAATTTAATTGAAAAACCTGCAATAATACAAAGAAACATTACTATGAAGTAGGGCCCTTGGGTGTATGTAGTATTTTTTGAAAGAAACAGGTCATGGTTGTCATGGTTGTATGTTTGCAATATGATAAAGGATAAAGGTGTAATTACAGGTATATTAAAGTCTTAATACAGATTTATTCAGGGTATACGAATGTTATATGAAACTGTATATTAAAGGTATATTAAATGGTATTGCCGAGGTGTATTAGATGGCTTTTCAAAGGTATATGGAAGGTAAATTGACAATAAAACATGTTCTCATGGTCAATAAACTGGCATATTGAAAAGACCAACGTATTTTCATGGTATATTAAATGTTATACTCAAGGTATATGACATGGTATGTCAAAACTATTTCAAAAGGAACATCAAAAGACCTTAACGTATATTAAACGTATGTAAAAGAAAGGTTAAAGGCATACTAAAGAATATTCAAGGTATTCTCATGTTTTGTTAAAAGGTACACTAAAGATATATTAACTGGAATATTACCTGGTATATTAAAGGTATATGTATTGAACGTATCGTCAAGGCAAACAAAAAATATTTTCAACGTCAAGTAAATGGTATAGCAAAGGTAGATTCTAGGTATATCAAATGATGTACGACAGGTATATTCAATTGTATATTAAAGGTATAGTATAGATGTGTTAGATTTTATTTGACAGTTATATGAAAGGTATATTAAAGGTATCCTAAAGGTATATTTGAGGCAAAAACGTGGCCAATAAAATTGTATTCGTATAAAGGTATGCTACACGTATATTAGATGGCCGCATATAAAGCATTGAAGGTGTATTACATTGTATTAAAAAAAGCATATTCGAACGAAGTTTAGAAGTCAAACTTCCGACAATATGGACAGATGAAAAGCAGAGCAGGGCAGAGGCAGAGAGAAGAGAAAGATTAGAAGAAAGAAGAGTAGAAGAGAAAGAGTAAGAAGAAAGAAGATGCAGATGCGCGAAAAGGTAGGAAAGTCGCGAAACACTGTGTTTTTCCAATGATTTGGGGCTCCGGAGGGTCGAAAAGTAGGCTCGCTAAAGCGGCGGGTGCGGAGCCAGCTGGCCAGATGAGAGATGAAAAATTGCACGCCGTTGTGGCGCGAAGCACATTTCCAAGTCAAAATGTACAAAACACCCATGCTCGGACCACTTTTGGAGTTCGATGTTGAAAAAAGTGCACGCCGTTGTGGCGCGAAGCACATTTCGAAGTCAAAATGTACAAAACACACCATTCGCGGACCACTTTTGGAAGTTGCGATGTCGAAAAAGTGCACGCCGTTGTGGCGCGAAGCACATTTCCAAGTCAAAATGTACAAAACACTACATGTCGCCCACATTTTGGAGGTGCAGATGTCGAAAAAGTGCACGCGTTTGTGGCGCGAAGCACATTTCGAAGTCACATGTTAAAGACACCAGGATTCGGACACTTTGGGAGTTCAGAGTCGCTTAGCTACACTACGTACACTACACTACACTACAACTACACTACAACTACAACTACACAACTACACTCCACTACAATACACTCCACTACACTACTACACTACACCATTACACTACACTACACTACACTACACTACACTCCACTACACTACATTACACTACACTACCTTCCACTACACTTCACTACATTACACTACACTACACTCCACTACACTACAACTACAACTACGACTACACAACTACACTCCACTACACTCCACTACACGAAATTACACTACACTACACTACATTACACTACACTACATTCCACTACACTCCACTGCACTACACTACATTACACTACACTACATTACACTGAATGACACTGCACCACAGATAGAATGACACTGCATAGACAGAGACAGATAGACAGATAGATAGACAGACAGGTAGACAGCTAGACAGATAGACAGATGAAAGAGAGAGAGAGAGATATATAGATAGATAGATAGGTAGATAGGTAGATAGGTACATAGGTAGATAGGTAGATAGGTAGATAGGTAATGAGATGAAAGAGAGAAAGAGAGAGATAGATAGATCGATAGATAGATAGATAGATACATAGAAGACAGATAGGCTGGTAGGTAAGTAGATAGTCAGAGAAAGAGAGAGAAAGAGAGGAGACCTCAAGCACCTTTCGGTCCATCAGTGGATTCGCTCTGCCATCCCTGATTCACAACAGCCAATCTCTTCTATATGTTTCCTATTTTTGAAACTTCCGCCACCGCCTTGTGCGGTACTACCGGTAAAATAATGGTACCCAAAATTCGCGTTTTATTGGCTCTAAAGATGGTAATCCATGGTAATTCACTGTTGGAAATGCATTGCCATGCAAACTGTACCAAGCAAAGCCGCCAGAACCTGCAGCATGGTGATTGGACCTCAAATCCCCTATCCATAGATGACTCTCCTTCAATTCCAAAAATCATCCCCTGCCCCCAGTCATATTTAAATAGCACCCACACAAAACCCTGGTTTAGATAATTAGTTCTTGGGCACTAACCTTTTGGGCCTCAGAGTCGCTCGGAGCCACTTCAGCCACATGGCTGCGCCAATCCCGGAACGTGCGCGGTTCAAGTGGCGTCCAAGTGCCTGCCGCAAGGAAGATGATACTGATAATGGTTCCTTGTCCTTGGCGTGGCCAACTTTTGCCCTGCACCTGAAGATCCCTTGTGTCAATGTCCCGGTGATCTCATACTTTTCTTCGAACTTCGGGCGTTCCTTCAGGATGAGCGCCGAGGCGCTGCCATGCTCCGAGAATCTATGGCCATTTCAACAAACGACAAACATCCCAAAAAAGCATCCTTCGGCGTACTAACAGTTTAAAAAAAACTACTGTACAAAGGATAGCTGTGAACGAATGCAATTCAATACAGTTCAGATAGTTTCGATTTTCTTCAAAAGAAAAAACATGCAAAACATTGACCCTCAAAGTATAATACTAATCGAAGGAAGTTTAGAAGTCAAACTTCCGACACTATGGACAGATGAAAAGCAGAGCATGGCAGGGGCAGAGAGAAGAGAAAGATTAGAAGAGAGAAGATCAGAGAAGAGAAAGAGTCAGAAGAAGATGCAGATGCGCCAAAAGGTAGGAAAATGGAAAGTCGCGAAACACTGTGTTTTTCCAATGATTTGAGGTTCCGGAGGGTCGAAAAGTAGGCTCGATAAAGCGGCGGGTGCGGAGCCAGCTGGCGAGATGAGAGATGGAAAAGTGCACGCCGTTGTGGCGCGAAGCACATTTCCAAGTCAAAATGTACAAAGCACGCCATTCTCGGACCACTTTTGGAAGTTGAGATGTCGAAAAAGTGCACGCCGCTGTGGCGCGAAGCGCATTTCCAAGTCAAAATGTACAAAACACCTCAGCCTCGGACCACTTTTGGAAGTTGAGATGTCGAAAAAGTGCACGCCGCTGCGGCGCGAAGCGCATTTCGAAGTCAAAATGTACAAAACACACCATTCTCGGACCACTTTTGGAAGTTGCGATGTGGAAAAAGTGGACATCGTTGTGGCGCGAAGCACATTTCCAAGTCAAAATGTAAATAATACCAGGGGTTCGGACCACTTTTGGAAGTTGAGATGGCGTTGGGATTGTGGATCTTGTCAAAAGTGAGCAAAACATGAGGGTTTTGTAGCATTTTTAAATACAAAGTCCACTACACCACACTACACTCCAATACACTACACTACAATACATCTACAACTACAACTACACCTTAACTACATTCCACTACACTACACTCCACCGCATTCAATTGCACTCAATTACACTACACTACACTACATTACACTACACTACACTACCTTCCACTACACTTCACTACATTACACTCCACTACACAAAATTACACTACACTACATTACGTTACACTCCACTCCACTACATTACACTACACTACACTCCACTACACTACATTACACTACACTACCTTCCACTACACTTCACTACATCACACTACATTACACTCCACTACACTACAACCACAACAACAACTACACTCCACCACACTGCACTACACTCCACTACACAAAATTACACTACACTACAGTACATTACACTATACACTACACTCCACTACACTACATTACACTACACTACATTCCACTACACTCCACTCCGCTACACTACATTACACTACATTACACTACACTACATTACACTGAATGGCACTGCACCACAGATAGACAGGTAGGCAGATAGACAGACAGACAGACAGACAGACAGACAGATAGATAGACAGGTAGACAGCTAGACAGATAGACAGATAGACAGATGAAAGAGAGAGAGAGAGAGATAGATAGATAGATAGATAGATAGACAGATAGATAGATAGATAGATAGGTAATTAGATGAAAGAGAGAGAGAGAGAGAGAGAGAGATAGATCGATAGATAGATACATAGATAGGTAGATAGGTCGGTAGGTAGGCAGATAGTCAGAAAAAGAGAGAGAGAGAGAGAGAAAGAGAGGAGACCTCAAGCATCTTTCAGTCCATCAGTGGCTTCGCTCTGCCATCCGTGATTCACAACAACCAACCAACCTCTCCTATAGGTTTCTTATTTTTGAAACTTCCGCCACCGCCTTGTGCGGTACTACTGGTAAAGGTATCTTGAAGATACTTTCATAGTCAATAGAACGGTACATTGAGGGTCTGGGTAAATTGTAATAATTCACTAATGATGGTTTATAATGGACAAGCACATTAACATGGATGATTTGGGTGTACCCCTATTGTAGGAAACCCCCATATCACCATTACCATGATTCTGGGTAAATTAACATATTTTACTAATCGGAAACTTGCGGCTATTTTGGGATGATTCCCCTAACCTGTGATCCTGTGAGGTCGCAGTGAGGTCGTGATCAAATAATTTACCCAGGAGGAGGCTAGAATGAAAAACCAGAAGAACACATGGGAAAATATGGTTTTTGATCTTAAGACATGTGAAAAAATCCTAGGTGCAATGATACTTTTTGATGAGAAAACAACTCGTTCCATGAGTTTTTTTTTTGACTTCCAAAACCAAAAAACAAACACCCTCTCAAGGAAACCAAAAAAACAAAGAAACTGAGGTAAAACAAAAAAACAACTTTTCTACCTGAAACCATCTTTTCTGTTTCAAACGATGTTTTTTTTTGGTTTTTGGTTCTGCTACAGTCATTGATCTACTTAGTTAATTTCAGCAGACTTACTGCCATGGTCATTCTTACACTTGTACTGTGTTGTTGCAGCTCCTCATGCAAATCCGCTGCAGAAAGTTCACTTATACTTGTGCTCTTGTAGCTACTTCTATTCTTGTAGCTTTGTCGTTTCACACACTTGAAAAACCACACCTCTCAAAACACCGTTTTTGAGAACGCCCGAAACCGCCCTGAAGCCCCCTATATATATATATACATCCCTATACTATATATATATATATATCCCTCTACTATATATATATATATATCCCTATACTATATATAAATATATATCCCTATACTATATATATATATATATATCCCTATACTATATATATATATATATCCACATATATCCCTATATAATATTAAAAACACCACAGAAACCATGGTTCAGTGAGAAATTTACAGCAATTGGGGACCAGGGGTTATTCTATTTGGGATGGGATTATACTTGGATCATCTCACATAGCAAGTGGTTACCCTTCTTAGTACATCCCCAATTCCTAGGTCATCCCATTTACAAGCAACTTATATGGGGGTTTCCATAAGTGGGGATACCCAATAGCTGGATGGTTTATAAGAAAGAAAATCCATCTATTTTTATGGATGATAACTGGGGGTACCACTATTTTAGGCAACCCCCATATAAGTAGCTTAGAACCCACTTTTCCCGTCACTCACCGGTGACATGTGGTGATCCAACGGGAACACCTTGTCGGGTCTATGGGGAACCGGAAGTCCGATATCAAATGATATACCCAACGGCCCAATAACCCAGATCACCTCCTAATAATACTGTGATCAATAATCGAATCAATTTCCTGGTTATACTTAAACATCACCCTTCCTCCGCACGCCCAACTCACCGAGAATCCCCTGACAGATGTTCCAGCACAAAGGGATCGCCTTCATTCACCTGTCAACGGAAGAACATCCCAACAGCACAGATACCTTTGATTCAGTTTGGGGAGCGAAATTTGCTTGGTGGCTGTCATTCACCTACAATAGGCTGGGGCGACCATGGTGACCATGGTCAGCGGCTTACCGTCCTAGTAACGTTACCCAGACCGGAAACGGCCAATTTGCATTGGCGGCTGGGAATCTGCGGGTGCTCAAACCACTACATGGCGTGTTGGCGAAATCGAAATCTTATGAAGTATTGGCCAATAGACTGCACGTGGACTGCGGAAAAACATCTAGATTCTGTCCCTTTCATAGGGGATTTTTATAGTGGAAAAAATTATTGAAACATGGGATTCATCAGCAAAATCAGCTACGAGGTCAATCGGAGAAACGAACAAGATCGAACTTGTTTGCTACGACTCAAGACCCTTACCCGTTGGTAATCAAACATGGCTTGCTGGAAAATACCTATACATGATTTTTCCCGCGAAAAGACAATTTAGAGAGAATTTTCAATTGCCATGTTTGGTTACCAACCGGTACCCTCTGGTAAACTAATATAACTATAGATAACTATGGAACATCACCATTTTTAATGGGTAAATCAACTATAAATTGCAATTTTCAATAGCTATGTTAGTTTACCAGCCGGTAGTTCTTGGATCATCTTCGGAATTCACACAATCCCACTGAGGTGGCGAAGAGCTCAGCGAGGTATCGCTATCCGTGGGGGCCAATATTATAGACCGCACTCTAATGTAATCACCATATCTAATACAATGTGGGGCCCCCCGTTATAAGATGGTTTATAAACACCATTAACCATAGTTATAGGTACCATAAACCATAGTTATTGGAGTTAAAACCAACTTAGCTATCGTTTGGGGGCCCCAATTTGTAGGGAATTCATCTATGGGCAACTTGTCCAGAACTATGGTAGGTTGCGAGTGGGTTTAGAATATCATTTACTGCATTGTATTCCCAATTTAAATTGCAATTTTGAGATGGTCTTCTCATTACATTAAAATATCATTTTCCCACCAGGCTGGTTGTTCGATAGACCGAAGTAATACCACCAAGTATGTTTACTTGGAAGTGCAAATCCACTTACTAGTGGATATATATATATAGATAGAGTTTCAGTTTTCCAGGCCCCATATCCTAGGTTGCGGAGGTTTACAACCATAGTAATGCCCATGTGTATCCTCTGCAAGCCCAAGTGCTCAATCTGGTTGGTGGTACAATAACCATCTTGAAAAATATGAGTTCGTCAATGGGAAGGATAACATCCCATATGTTATGGAAAATAAACATGTATAATATACTTGTGGTTTATATAAATGTTTGAATACAGTAATACATTATGATTTACCGCATTATCCGAACAATAAAACATGATTAAAACCAGCAATCAGTCAATGCATGCGGTAAATCAGATGCCATATATGTTTACCATCCCCAAGTCAGCATTTATGGTAGCCACTCTCCGAGCTTTGGCACCTGACAGGTGTGGTACATCGTTAGATCGTAAGGTTGGAGCCGTGCTACCAACTGACCTCAAAGGGACGTCGTAAAATCTTGAATAGATGACTGATACAATGTGGGGCCCCACAGTTATAAGATGGTTTATAAACCCCATTAACTACAGTTATAGGTACCATAAACCATAGTTATTGGAGTTATAAACCAACTTAGCTATCTAGGGGGCCCCACTTTGTACCAATCTGGTTATGACTAACATAGCCATGGAAAATCCCAACCATAAATGGAGGTGTCGTTCGCTGGGAAAATCATCTATTTCTATGGGCCATCTATACCATGGCTATGTTAGTCATAACCAGAGGGCAACCAATCTTTGAGACCCATCAAGATTACCATTAGTTACCCTCTGGTATATTAACATAGACCCTGGCAGATAGGGGTTGGAAGACTAGTTTCCACTATAAATTGGTCATTTTCAGGGTCTATGTTAATTTACCAGAGGGTAACTAACTATAATCTGTAAGTGATTGATTAACTATGGGGCTGTTTAATTTCAAAATTATGTTCGCAGAGTTGGTTTGTATCCGAGTCAAAAAGCTCTCAAGGGGAGGTGCATTTTGGATGGGGATATCGCACGCCACCCTATCCATGATGTTAGGTAGTAGGTAGTAGTAGTAGGTAGTAGTAGTAGGTAGTAAGTAGTAGGTAGTAAGTAGTAAGTAGTAGGTAGTAAGTAGTAAGTAGTAAGTAGTAAGTAGTAAGTAGTTAGTAGTTAGTGGTAGTAGTGGTAGTAAGTAGTAAGTAGTAAGTAGTAAGTAGTAAGTAGTAAGTAGTAAGTAGTAAGTAGTAAGTAGTAAGTAGTAAGCAGTTAGTAGTTAGTAGTTAGTAGTAAGTAGTAAGTAGTTAGTAGTTAGTAGTGGTAGTGGTAGTGGTAGTGGTAGTGGTAGTAGTAGTAGTGGTGGTGGTGGTGGTAGTAGTAGTGGTAGTAGTAGTGGTAGTGGTAGTGGTAGTGGTAGTAGTAGTGGTAGTAGTAGTGGTAGTAGTAGTAGTAGTAGTAGATGTAGTAGTAGTAGATGTAGTAGTAGTAGTAGTAGTAGTAGTAGCAGCAGTGGCAGTGGCAGTGGCAGTGGCAGTGGCAGTGGCAGTGGCAGTGGCAGTGGCAGTGGCAGTGGCAGTAGCAGTAGCAGTAGCAGTAGCAGTAGCAGTAGCAGTAGCAGCAGGAGCAGTAGCAGTAGCAGTAGCAGTAGCAGTAGCAGTAGCAGTAGCAGTAGTAGTAGTAGTAGTAGTAGTGGTAGTACAGCAACAACAGCAACAGCAGCAACAGCAGCAGCAACAGCAACCAACAGCAACAGCAGAAGCAGCCAACAGCAACAGCAGCAGCAGCCAACAGCAACAGCAACAGCAGCAACCAACAGCAACAGTAACAGCAACAGCAGCAGCAGCGGCAACAGCAGCAGCAGCAGCGGCAACAACAGCAACAGCAGCAGCAGCAGCAACAGCAACAGCAGCAGCAACAGCAAGAGCAGGAACAGGAACAGCAGCAGCAACAGCAGCAGCAACAGCGACTCACAAGACGCAATGCTGCCAAGAGGTGATTGGAGAACCGCATTGGGTAGGCTCCGACGATGCTGGCGACCGTGGGTGCGGGTGTGGTTGTATTTGGAGCGGCTTGACTTGGAGTGTCCGACCCGTGTACCATATCTACATCAGTTGTCGGGGCTGGCATATGCCCGGTGACTACTACAAGGCCAGCATTCAGCTCCGCTTTTGATTCTGTCATTAAGAGAACGGCTGGTGGGCAGTCTCGTGCGCTGGCCATTGTATAGCTTTGCAATGCTTCTGCTCGGCTGGTTTGGTCAGTCATTAGGTTCACTAACTCAGCGATTTCAAAGAGCGTCGTAGGGACACAGTCAGAGTCCTGTAGAAAATGTTACTATAACTATTAGCTATACATTACTATATAAAATTAGTGTCCCAATAAGGATCAATAAACCACATTAATATATTAATACTAGTAATTACAGTAACCATTATAAACCTTCAATATTACCATTCATTACTTAATCAATCACTTACAGATTATAGTTAGTTAACTAATGGTAATATTGATGGTAGTTGTTACGTTGGCTAATGGTAATCAACCAGTATCAGTCATCATGGCAATTGTTCAATGAGTATGCCAACTAACCAACTCGCTTTTTCCAATGATCAATCTAGTTAACTATATTAATCAAACCAAACCATAAACCATAAATATGTAATAAACTTTAATACACCATAGACTATGCAATATCTAACAATAAATAATACAGTATGCAAAACTTTACATACTATATCAATACTATAAACCATAAGTATATGATTTAAATATAGTTTTACTACTACTAAATGATGATGTAACATATTGTCATGCACGAAGCATTTTACACATCGGTATCACCTCGTACTGAGTTGATCTATGGCCCATATACACGAAGCTAGTTGATACACAACTCAACAATAGTCCTTATCATAAACCATGGCTTTAATAACCATATTACCAGAATAATGACACTATATCATTAGATGACGGCTAACATGATCATATATTAACACACCATATATCATATTATATATCATATTGACATCACTGTATGTGACAAAAACCAGGAATTCAAGTGGCAAACCCAAGATTAAACCATCCCCAAGTCATCACCATTCAAATGGGTGGTATGAACCATCCCCAAATGGTCGTTGTTTGTTTTCTAGTGGGTTTACCACAGTAGTAATTTAGCACATTAGTAAGGCACTATCTATCTATCTATCTACCTATCTATCTATCTATCTATAAATATATTATCATGGTTATAGTTATCACGTAACGATAACTACTGCATATAAAACACATATAGTTAACTATAATTGAAACTAATATCACAAGTACGATAGTTATAATTGCCATATTCTTAACTATAACTATAACACATATTTAATAGTCTATATTCCATATCACTGCTAGATATTATAGTACCTATAAGACTATATTCAATAGTTAATAACGTATAATATACTACCGTAAAACCAAATACGGTCAATATTGTAATCGATATTTACTATGACTATACTATAACTGATAATATCTATATATTAATAGCATTAAACAAACCATAAACCATATAACATGAAAGTATCATAGGTGTAGCTACCATCTTATTAACTATAACTATAACCATCCTTGTAACCACAACTAATATTATACTATCAAATGATACCTAGTTACCAGAGTTATAGGATGTTATAGGTAATAGCCATAATGGTTGCTATAAAGTAATTAATCATAATAGATAGAAAAGTCTTAGGGCATGGGATAATAGGTATATAATAGGTATATAATAGGTATATAATAGGTATATAATAGGTATATAATAGGTATATATAATAGGTATATAAAAGGTATATAATAGGTATATAATAGGTATATAATAGGAATACAATAGGTATCTCTTAGAGAAGGTAATAAAAGCCATAATAGGTAACCATGTATTTAACCATAACTATACCATAAACTTGTGGGTAAACCATATAGGTTAACTATATTAATGTTACCATTTAGTTACCCCTATAAAAATGAAAGTAATAATAATAGTAATAATATATACATTTACATGTAGAATAAAACATCTAAGAACCAAAAGTAATATAATAGGTCCAAGATGTATTAACCATAGTTCATCTAATATTAAATTCAGAATAAGTAATACAATAGGTATAATATATGATAGTATATTATCAAGGTATAACATATTCAACAAACTATATTATATTTCCAATTAATTTCCACTTAGTATTTACATATATAATACTTATAATAGGTATATAATAGGTATATAATAGGTATATAATAGGTATATAATAGGTATATAATAGGTATATAATAGGTATATAATAGGTATATAATAGGTATATAATAGGTATATAATAGGTATATAATCCCATTATTATCATCCCATATGATATTATAATCCCTATTATTACCCCATTATAATCCCTATTATTATTACATTATGATTAATATTATATTATTAAGACCTATTATTATGACCTAGTATTAACCATAGTCCATCTAATATTATATTTATAATAACTAATATAATAGCTGGTTGGTGGTATACCTACCCCTCTGAAAAATATGAGTTCGTCAGTTGGGATTATTGTTCGCAATGTATGGAAAGTCATAAAATTCTATGGTTCCAAACCACCAAGCAGAAATATATTTTTTGAAATTCATGTTCCAAACCACCACACCATAGTTATAGTTTATACTATGGAACGTCATAAAATTCCATGCTTCCAAACCACCAACTAGACCATTATTATCCAATGTATTAACCATAGTTTAACAATAGGTATATAATGGACGTATAACCATAGGTATATTAACCATGTATTAACCATAGTTTAACCATATATTTAACCATAGTTTAACAATATGATATTATACTCCCTATTATTATGACATTATATTCCCTATGATTATGACATTTAATTCCATTATAGTTCATCTAATATTAGGGGTATATAATGGGTATATAATGGTTTATCCTAACAATAGGTATATAATATAACTATATGGATAAACCATTATATATCCATTATATAACAATAATGGTTTATCTATTTATCCTAACAATAGGTATATAATAGTTATATAGTGGTTTATCCTAACTATAGTGGTTTTACCACCAACTAGACCATTATTATCCCATGTATTAACCATAGTTTAACAATAGGCTATATAATGGATATTATATTATGAAGACCTATTATTATGACCTAGTATTAGCCATATTCATCTAATATTAACCATGTATTAACCATAGTTATAGTTATTAGTTATAGTTTATAACCAATAACTATAGCCATGGTGAATACATGGTCAATAACTATGGTTAAACTATATTAAACTATATATATTATCCATATATCCATTATATACCTATTGTTAAACTAGTAGGTCTATAACTATGGTTTTCATAACTATGGTTTTCATAGGTCTATAATAATAGGTCTATAATAGGTATCATATTCATCTAATATTAACCATGTATTAACCATAGTCATAATAAGTATAATAGGTATATGATGGATATATGAACCATATTCATCTAATAATAACCATATTCATCTATATAATATTAACCATGTATTAGCCATAGTTATAGACCTACTAGTTAATGGTGAATAACTATGGTTAATAACTATGGTTAATAGGTCTATAACCATAACTTCCTGCTGCGGCACTGGATCCCCTGAAGTTCACCGCAAAGGACACCGTGCCATAGGAGCAGCGCCGCGAGGAGCCGCGGCCGCCCTGCCAGCGGCCCAGGAACGCCACCTGCGCGGCACCGGCACCCGTCAATGCAACGGCGTTCCCACCACGGGGAGCTGGAAAAATGCTGGTTTCATGCTGGGAAAATCTGGGAAACCATGGGAAAAATGAGGATTTTAGACAGTTTTTTCATGACACACTTAAACATGCTGGAAACATATGGAGGCTAGGGAAACTATTGGGAAAAATCCATGGGAACTGATGATTTCATGACTTATCTGAGAAAAATGTGAGTTCATAGAGCAAGCATGAGCTTGGAGACGAATGTTGGCCGAATGGCCAATAGAGCGGATGGTTGGTTGTATCCTTGTTTGATCTCCCTTTACTATCAGGTGCTCATATCCAACCACTATCAGTTTTTTTCATCGACCACTCCTCGTCAGCTACCTCGAAGGGTGAGTCCAGGGTCCACCAAAACTGGATTGGCTAACAGAAACCCTGAAAGATGCGTAGGGCCTCCGCGCTCGGGTGAATAAAGTGCCGCCAGATTTCAATCAAATCAAGGGCTACCTTCGGGTTTTTTAACAGTTTGCCATGGAAAGATCCACCATGAAATTAAGAACGGTCAACCTCTATTTCGATTAGGGCCAATTTATACCATGGCTATGTTAGTCATAACCAGAGGGTAAATCCCATTAAAACCACCATTTTGTTGGTTAAACCCCATTAAACCACCATTAAACCAGCATTTTCCTATGGTTTTCCTATATTAGTCATAACCAGAGGGTACTAATGATCACTTTTTGAGGCTGCTATCTCCCGAAGCCAACCATTCAGCCCCCCACCATCCTGGCACCTGGCCAGCCTTCGCTGACTGAGTAAACTAACAGGTTGCGACATAGAAAATGGCCCATTTATGGTTGATTTACCCATGAAAAATGGTGATTTTCCCATCAGTTTGTTGTTAGTTTACCAGAGGGTACCTCCCAGTGTTTCTTTTCGTTTGGTCACGCTGACCACCTTCATTGACGCTTGATTTTTAAAAAAATATGTCATATGAGTCATATCTTTCTCTTGCAAAGCACAAGACAATGGTGCACCGACATGTATCAAACCATTTCCAGATTTCAACTTATATACGAAAGTGTTTTAGGATTTACAACCTGCCAAGAGAAAAACATATTCAGTTTAGTCAATCTGCAAATGGTCCCCCATTGGAATTCCTTCTTATGGTCATCAATTTTCCCGCAGGAACCACAAAATGTTCATCCTCAACTGCTGGTTTAGCAACCGACAGTATGAACAACATCCACATTTTTGTTGGTCATTACTTTGGCTTCCTATTGCTAGTGACTTCCTAAGTGGTTCATAAGCATGTTACAATCGACGGAATCTCCCTATTTCCAGCACATATAAATGGATTGGAAACCACTTGCCAACTGGGACGCACAGTCAAGTAAATAGCCATGTTTGTTTGCTGATAACTTGAAACCAAATAAACCGTCAGTACATGGCCTATGAAAGCCTCCTCATTTTACCCTTTTCCCACCGCAACCAATGACTCGAATCTATGGAAAAAACAGGTTTGGGATGGTATCTATCAGCATTTTCCCACATTTTCCCAGAATGGTTGTGATTCAGCCAGTGGATTTAAGGACTGCCAGTGGTTGTTAAATTTTGATCGTCGCGATTCATGGTGGTTTACCCATTGGTCAAACATCCCCCACAAAATGGCTGCTTTGCCCAAGGCCAATATAGCAGCTGATCACCAAATAGATAGAAACGTTGGAAACCCTTTTCAGTTGTCATGGTTAATGTTAGATACCCTGCAAATATGTAAATTCTTAGCTGGTGAACGTAGATAATCCCATACCAAAAGACTAGTTAGGATTAGTTTCTACACATCTAGTCGATTGACCTAGTTGTGGGGAAAATTACCCTCTGGTAAACGTTTACAGCGTGCTATTGAACATGGCCATAGAAATAGTGGATTTTCCCAGCTATAACATGGTGGATCTTTCCATAGTTTTTTGTATGTTTTACCATAAATTCTGCAGTTATGGACATTTATGAAAGTTATAACTGGTTATTTCAGTGGGATTATATGGCAGTGTGTCAAAACCTTGTACCCCTGTAGTTCACATCAAAATAGCTGGGATTTATGGATGTTCATCCCACTAAAAATGGTATTAATAGGTATTGATCCATAGCCATATATACGTTATTTCTATGGGGTGATCTTCTTCGTACTTATAACTGGTATAACTCGGGCCATCAACAGCTCAGCATCTGGGAGACATCCACCCCTCGGCCTGATCCGGGGAGTACACCTTCAAGGCACCGTTTCGCCTGCGACGTGACAAATCATCCCTGGGATTTATAGTGATTTAATGGGATTTTATAGTGATTCAATGGGATATTAATGGGATATACCCTCTGGTAAACTAACAGTTTGCTATTGAAAATGGCCATTGAAATAGTGAGTTTTCCCATTATAAATGGTGATTTTCCATAGTTATGTTAAATTACCAGAGGGTAAATCCTGCACCAGCTGGTACCCAGACTGGTAAAGGTTTACATAGCGAACTATGGAACATCACCATCAAATTCATGGGTAAACATACAAAAAACGATGGAACATCACCATGTATAATAGGATATAGGTAAATCAACGAAGTACATGATCATTTGCAATAGCTACGTAACAAATTACCAGATGGTAACTACAAAAACTATTGGGATTCTATGAAACACTGTCAAGGATGGGATGTCAACAGTGTCGCCAGTGTCGTTGGGATTTCGCAACCACATGCGAATCCCGGAGTCGCTTCAGACATGGCATGGCACAACACACCTTATTAAAGTGGACCCCAAGCTACGCTTTTTTATATTTTAATGTGTGAGAATGAAATCTACTTGGAAAGTCTCCCATGTATGGCTAAGCACCTAGCAATCTGCCATGAGATTCCCACTACTCCCCCACCAAAAATGTGCCCAGAACCTGCACGCGGCTGAAAGCAGGAGCAAAATCCGCCACAGATCCATCGGTCGAAATCTGTAGCGGTGAAGCGGTGAACCAAAAATGGCTGCGAAGGCAAGTGGGTACCCCGATTATTGTATAACTCAATCGATTGGAAGAATTCTCAGGAAGTACAGGATGGGGCCCCCCAGTTATTATAAGTTGGTTTATAAACCATGAAATAATCCCCATGAATACTATATATCTACCATAAGCCACTGTTCATTCAGCCACAACCATGTGCACCAACGGTTCACGCTATCTGAAGGGGGCCCCAGCCTGTATAATATCCGTAGCTCCAATATGATGCCATTGCGGCTTGTAATTGGAACTTGTTGTTCCGGACTTGGGAGTTTCTGGACCTTGAAGAAATTAGGCTAAGCGGCTTACTTGTTTGTGCTATACCTCATGAATAACCATTTCAGATAGTCATAGTTTTCACATCAAAAAAAGACCATCATTTTTTTTAGGGTTTCCTGCAGATGTCTATTGAACCAATTCTTGGAATTGAGGCACTGAGGTTCAAGGGTCATTTTGCTCGGTGAAGCACTGAACGCAGGTTTGTCTAAAAATGGGGTATCCAAAAATCCCATAGTTTATCATAGTTTATCATCATGTACCCTATATCCTACAACAATCCGCATCTTTTGGTGGAACATACCCCATTTCCAAACACAACCACATGCATACTTGACTAGCTACAATGTGGTGCCCCCTAGTTATAAATTGGTTTATAAACCCCATTAACTATAGTTATAGGTACCATAAACCACAGTTATTGGAGTTATGTGCACCAACTTAACTATCTAGGGGGCACCACTTTGTAGGAACCATTTATACTGGGCATTTACAGCCATGTGATCAGTGTTCCAAGACTGCAAAGTCGCCCCTTCTGGCTGGCCGTGGGAATTCCAATCCATGGGTCAGTTCACAACTGTCTCAAGAGAAGTCTTGCTCCTGATGTTTTGATAGGCCTGGTAATCAACAAAAACTAAATACTATAGCAAATACTATAATAATAGTAGTAATAATATATATATATGTATATATATATACTATAATCATATATACTCCTGATAATCACTTCTATACTCTTAGCTTTGGGATTTCCAGAACATACTTTTGATCAACCAACAGTTGACTGCTGATGCTTCCATGGCCATGGATCAAAAGCCCGGCACCGAAAAAGGCCCCCCAACATACCAGTAATGATATGGATGAACATTAATACCATAATATAAGTGAATTATAATGATGAATATGAATTATAATGATATGAACATTATAATTATAATATACTGATCATAATTTACTTATGATACCATATCCATATCATATACTGGTATCATCCATATCATAATGATACCATAAATTATAATACTGATCAGTAAATTATGGATATGAATTATAATGATCATAATACCAGTAAATGAATGGATGAACATTAGATGCACATAAACATATTGTGGATATCATTACCAGCAATAATATCCATAATGTTGATATCATCCATTACTCTCTGGTAAACGTTTACATAACTATGGAAAATAACCATTTTTAATGGGAAAAATCAGAAAATCCATTATTTTTTATGGTCATTTTCAATAGCTATGTAACAAATTACCAGGTCGGGTATAGCCCAAAATGGGGATGGGGATGTTCATCCCCGTGTGTACTAAACCATCCAGTGATCTCGTGAAGAGTTATCTTCTTCAGCTTCCCATCTAATGGTCTTATCAATATTGAAACCAGTAACAGCTTCATCTGGTTGGTGGTATACCTACTCCTCTGAAAAATGATGGAGTTCGTCAATTGGGATTATGAAATTCTCAACTGAATGGAAAGTCATAAGTTATTCATGTTCCAAACCACCAGATATTATATACAATTGCCAACTTTCTAGCCAATAATTCAATAACATCCCATAACGTATAATATTAACATTATATAATTTCTTTTATTGCTCCGTTGATGGTCAGACCTGCACTGCAACCAATCCTTTCGTGGATGCCATGGTTTCCCATAAAAATGGTGAACCATAAGCCCTGCAAGCTACAAAAAAGGCTCCATTGGCCAAATATCCCATTGTCTTCCCATGGATCTTCCCAAAATTCATTGTATTCCCACTACACTCCCATGATATTCGCATTGTCTTCCCAGGATTTTCCCATAACTTGTTCATATTGTAAACCCCCTCATGAAATTACCCAACCCAACGTTGCGTTATCCCTAGAAACCCGGTCGTCACAACTTATAATAGCTTGCATGCCTTCATGATCTTCATGTTTCGCCATTTTGATCATGATTCCCCCCCATCCTTCCACTTAAATTCTTACATTTCCATGGGCACTTCTCCCATTTCTAGAGACACCCAATGATATATCTTGGTTAGTTGTATCCCATATGGTATCATATCATATCAGTCATATCATATCATATCATATTATATCATATTGTATCCCATCATATTTCCATTTTCACACCACCGCTCTCGAAAAAATACGTATTTTTTTCTTCGCTCCTTCACTCGTCCATTTTGCAGAAGCGTTCTGCGGCACCTAAAAGCCGGTTCTCTTGATCCAGGCTTTTAGGGATGGTTTAAGGCTTAACCAGGAATTTGATGGAAATTACAAGCAATAAAGTGAGTAGAACACTAACAAAACACCAATAAAAAGGGTATTCAATCAGCAAAATGTGATTTTGATGAACAACAAACACGCAAGAATCATTTCAACCAGCATTTCAGCCGAGCAAAAAAAGGTATATCCCAAGCAACATGGAGATGGCCCAATTTATGGCCACAACGTTGATTCCAATCATCAGCCATCATGATCATGGTTTGCTTGATCCCTTCCCAAATTCCCATCACATTCATCTTCCCATTTCCCTGAAAAGACCTTGATAAACCATGGCATGGAAGGAGGTGTTAAATGTTCAACCCCATGTCAACTCGTATAAATCGAAGATTTTTTTGGATCTTGACCAGCCACCAGAGGATCCTTTGGCAAAGTGACAAGACAGCAAAAATGAAATCACCATTCAATTCCAGTAAATCCCCTTAAGTCCCATTAAATCCCACTAAAACATCCCATTGAAAAATCCCACTAACTCACATTAAACCCCATTAAATCCCGATTATCTTCCATTAAACCCCATTATATCGCAATTAAATTCCAGTAAATCCCATTAAGTCCCATTAAATCATATTAAAAAATCCAATTAAATTCCATTAAGTGTTAAATCCCGTTGAAATCCCGTTAAAATCCCATGAAAAATCCTATAAAAAATCATATAAAAAATCCCATAAAACACCATCTGAAAAAAAAACATGAAAAAAACCAGGGAAAATCCCATGGAAATCATCTGATTTCATCACCATGACATGCCCAAAATCCGTAAAAAAATTCGACGGGCCGTGGCTGACGTGGCACGGTATTCGAAGGGATGCACCCAAAAGTTGGCCGCCTGGGGTTTGAGTCTTGGAGAAAAACGAGGCAAAACATGGTGCCCCAAAATGCAGGTGATGTGAATGTTTGTACCCTCTGGTAAACATACAAAAAACTATGGAAAATCACCATGCTATTAATGGGAAAACTCACTATTTCTATGGCCATTTTCAATAGCTATGTTAAATTACCAGAGGGTAAAACCCATGAACTTACTGTTTAAACCATAGTTGCCACCATAGTTTTCTTCATAAACATCCATAAACATCAGTAAAGATCCAGAAAGCTTGGGAACTATCTACCATAAAGATCCATAAACCATAGTTAATCCATTAACACATGGGAATATACAATATAGCTACTTGGTGGCTCATCCCACTTACTACGTAAGATTAAACAGGATAAGTGGGATGAACTAACCTACTTAGTGGGGTTCTAAGATAAGGGTTATAAGAGATTTTTTCCCTGGTTTGCTAGTGGGATAAGTAGGATTAATCCAATTACAGGTGGGGTGAACTAACCTACTTAGTAAGTGTGATGAGCTACCAAATAGGCATCTACAAGAAATCACCAGAACTTCATTGGTAGATGAAGTATCACTTAGGTAATTCCTCAGATCATAGAAGTAGGATAATGATGATACAAGATTTAGAAGTATCACCTATAAATCATCATAGAAGTATCATTTACGGTGATTTCAGGTGATTTATGATGATAAATCAAGATTTGGAACTGGATAATCTTCTTAAATGATGATACAAGAAAGAAGTAATCGGGGTAATGAGATCAGGATATGATGAATGTACGAGTCTGGTGATTTATGGATCATTTGCGATACTTCACTAAGATGAAATAAAACCATTTGGGATAGTTCATTCCAGTGACGTCGCGCCGGGTCGTTACAATTTACCCTCTGGTAATTGAACGTAGCTATTGAAAATGGCCATTAATAGTGGATTTTCCCATTAAAAATTGTGATTTTCCATAGCTATGTTAGTTTACCAGAGGGTATCCAGAGTGGTATTCAATATATCCTCATTATATTCACATGATGCCACCATTCGCCACCATTCATGTTGGCTAAATCCTCATTTTTGATGGTTGAACCCTGCATTGATCGTTGATATCCCAGGTGGTTATGGTCACGAATGGGCTAAGTGCTTGGATCTACGCGATTGCTCATTTTTTGCATGTGTACTTAACCTTACATAATATATGGAAGTACATGGGGGTGCGCTAAAACTGTCCTTTCTAACCGCAGCGGCCAATGGTGGTTTTTGAAGCCAACTGGGATAATATGAAAGGATATCACCAGCCTTGTCGGACCCTCCAAAAGCTATGGTTCAAGACCTTGTTCACCAGGCTTCGCGACGGGGGGTTACCCCGTCGCCTTCCGCTCAAGGACCACCAGCTATTCAGTGGTTGATGCGCCGTTGGCACAAAGGTTCATGAACTTTTTCCCAGGAACTTCCAATTTGGAGGTTTCCGGGGTTTCCGGGGTTTCCTTGAATGGTGGTAGCCCCGGGATGACCTGAAAAAATCTCTGTGAACATCAGCGTTTTTGAAGGCCTACATTGTAATGCTATTGAAGGCGAAAATCTCAAAATGGATGGTTTCTATACTTGGAAGAAGCGAAGAAAAGGACATTGGCTAAAAGTTCCATGCTAAGTTCTATTTCCAATTGGATTAGATTACGTAGTTCTATTTAGCTAAGAAGTTCCATGCTAATTGGACTATATTGGCTGAGTTCTATGCTAAGAAGTACTACCAAAATTGGCTTTGTAGGAACTCCAGCAATTGGTGGATCATCGAGTGACTGATGAAGTGGAGTTTTAGCCCAGTGAGATAAGCCACTTGGGGACTTATTTGACAAATAAAGTGATTGACTTACCCTCTGGTAATTTAACATAGCTATTGAAAATGGCCATTTATAGTGGATTTTCCCATTAAGAATGGTGATTTTCCATTGCTATGTTAGTTCACCAGAGGGTAATATTTGTCATAGTAAATTAATCACTTTATACTAATTCACTTCACTATGAAATTAATATTTGATTTAATAAGTGATGATGAACATCTACAGTAAACTAGTATACCCTCCTGTCCTCCTGTCTGTGGCTGGAAAATCCCCGATTTAGGAACCAATGATTTCCCCAATCACATTCCCACATTTTATCCTACTTGATGGCTATTATACTAACGGATGTGAATAATGATATTAATCTAACCAGCTAATATCCTACTATGAAATATTGCTAATATAGTTGTTTAGAAATATATAATGATGGCTATTATACTAACTAGCTGGTTGGTTATGCCGGTTATGCTCCCAATTACATCCACATTTTGTATCTACTAAGATTCCCAGTATATGCCAATTAATTCAATTATTCTCCCCAATCATATCCCTATAAAATTATCACGTATTGTGCTTGGAATAGGGATTGATAGGGATATCATTGGGGAACGAGATATTTCTTGGGAATTCACTTGCACCCAGTATATCCCACAGGATGGTGCCCCCAGGTTATAAGTTGGTTAAAAACCCCCATGAATACTACCATAAACCATAGATTTCAGCCACTTATATATAGGGCTATTTCGGACCATAACTCCAATAACTAAGGTTTATGGTATATCTATATATTATATAGTTGTATCTACCATAAACCATAATTCAACCAGCCACAACCATCTTCGGCAACTTACCCCTGGTTGGTTGGTGATCCCAGATATCCCCGGCCACTGAACCCGACCAAACATCGTCCAAGGAACGAATTTGGTGCCCTCCAGAACTGGAACTGCTTGGTGCAATGAGCGTTCGTCCATCTTCCTGGGGCGCACCGAAGAAGCTTCGACTTTGTGTCTTTTGGGGCTTCAAAACTGGAAAACTTGAAAAACAGTGGAAAACCATAGGAAAACCATAGGAAAACCATAGGAAAACAGCTTATGGTATGGCAAGGTTTTGATGGAAACTATTGTAGGAATCACCTGTTTTTTTCAAAGCTTGGACAACGATGGGAACCTGTGCTATGGTAAAGTTTTGATGAGGAAAATGATGATCCATGAAAGGGCAGCCCGCCTATGCTACCCGAAAAAATACTCTATGTTCACCTAGGTGATCTAGGACACATCCCATCTTTAGAGATGAAACACACATAGAAACTAGCAACAAGTTCTAACATCAGAAGAGCAGAAGAGGCTTGGGGCTTTTTTTCTTTCTATACAACACCTTGTTGAACATATCATGGGAAACTCCCAACTGGGATTACCCTAACTGGCTATGACTAACATAGCGAACTGGAAGCCATGACCCATCTATAGATCATAAAAAGGAGGATTTACAGTTCTTAAAAATGCTGATTTTCCAGTTCGCATGTAAATTTCTGCAAACGGGGCATTAAATAAAGAACAACCATTATAGCAAATTTAATAACCATCATTAACAACCGTGATTGTTCGCTACACTAAATAACCAGAGGGTATATATTGAACAACACACCCAGTGAGTAGATGAAACCGCCCAGTTCTAATGTGATTGAGATCCGCAGAGTTTCAAACGACTTGATGGTGTAGACCCTAATCCCATGCACCTAATATTAGACACCCCAGAAACATCCAGAACCATGGTTTAGCAAAGGATTATTCAATGGCCATGCTGGCCAGGAACCGATTTATTGGAGGTACCTACCATATATAAGGCCTATTTTTCAGGCCTATGTAAGGGAATATGTTCAGAAAATATGGACAGAAATATGGTACTAACGTACCTCCATTGAATCGGATCCTTGAAATTCCCATTGAACAGATTGAAATGTCTATGTTTAGTATGAAACATTAGCTTATTGGTGTACCATGGTTTAGCAGAGGATTTTCTATATTTACATATTTGGGACAGATGGGGGTGTTTGATATGGAGGAATCCCATCATGGAATCCCGCAAGGCACAGGAATGGCGCGATGGAAAAGGTGCGCCCCCCAGTTCTGTTTGTTGGTTTATAATGTTTATAGCTCCCATAAACTACTTCGTTATATCTACATATATCTACCATAAACATCCACAAACCATCGTTTTTTTTGCTATATCAACCAACTTAGCTATCAGTTCTGGGGAATAGAATGGGAATATACTTGGAATATCATGTCTGTGAGTTAGTGTAGACTGCAGAGTGATTAACTCACCCGCCAGGTTGAAAAATAGATTGACAAGGACAACACCTGTCTTATTTTTCATTATAATTAATCATTATAAGTAAGTCTTTATCTGCTCTTGGCTGAGGCTTAGTCCTTGTTACTTTGCCATCTGTGCCTCCCGTTCTCTTTGCGGAATCGATTTAGGAACGCGTTTGTACAAAAATAAACCACGGACTTCGGATATCAAGGATGCTATCTGCCGGTCTCCGATCCACCAAGACCAGGGCTCCAAATGTCGGGCTGCACATTGGCCCAAACGACGGCTTTACCTCCGCGACGTTGCGGGACAGATTTGGATGGGATCTGTCAAGGTCAAGGTCAAGCCAGTTTTTGGGGCGATTTGTGGCTGGTAACTGGGGTATATCCTTACATATCCCGGTTTTTGGGTATGATCCACTTACTAACCACTTGGCTAAGTCTAGCGACGTTGAAGTAGTGCTTAATGGGAAATTTATGGAAATGGACGACGAAAAATGGAGAAATTTACCAATAGATATGACACTGTGTTTAGCGAAACGTTGCTGGAAGGCTGTAGGAGTTCTGTGGGCAGCTTTCAAATCTACAAGTTTTTTTATCTGATTGGTGGCTAAGCCACCTGAAAAATACTTCAGTACTGGGAATACTCAAATGAACATATTGGAAATCACCGAAATCACCAATAAAGTCATGTTGGAAAACTGTGAAAATGACGCTGATCCCATCCATCTTTTTTCCAATGGTGCCATATGTGGTTTCATCCCCCTACGGCCCTACCATGGTTTCTGGGTGGTGTCTGAAAATGAGGCAACCCAAACTGGCAAGGTTTTTTAATGAAAACATGATGATTCTTGATGATAAACTTCAGTGGTTTTAGCGCCACCTCAAAAATTCAAAAAGACAAACTGACAAAGCTATCTTGCGATGGGTCCGATGTCATCTTTATGAAGGAGGAACAAATACCGCTTGGAATTGGGGCGACGTGCTTCCCATAGCAGTTGCGTGTAGGTGACTACAACCAGTGCGATTTTTTCGGATCAAAATCATTGAATCCGACCCAACAAGTGGCGGTTGACAACCAAATCTTGGCGGCCGAAGTCCTTACAATGAAATATGTTTGTATGAAAATATCTGAAAATAGGGTACCTCAGACTCTTTATTGTCCATTTGTTTATTATCATTCCCTTTATTGGCCATCTTGGTGATTAGTCGGCCAGTTTTAGACAGACCCAAATGAAACTACAGCTATCAAGATATTGGGTATAGGATGGTATAGGTCAAAACTAGGTACCCCAATAATTAGATGGTTAATACTAAACTAGACATTCACATCTGTGGTCCCCTAAGGTCTATGTTTCAATATGTTTCATACTAAACATAGACATTTCAATCTGTTCTTCAGGGAGATCTTCAGCATCCGATTCAATGGAGCTACGTAAACGTACCATATTTCTGGCCATATTTTCTGAACATATTCCCTGAAATTTAGGCCTGAAAAATAGGCCTTATATATGGTAGGTACCTCCAATTTAGGATTCTGAAATTCCCATTGACATACACAATCAACATATTTTTTTGGGGGATATTCCCTTACACCTTACATACACCTTGCATAGATCTTGCATATGGTAGGCACCTTCGATAAATCGCTTCCTGTGGATATCTGTGGATATCTATGGTCCCTGCTGATATGGCCTGTCCCATCCCCAAAAAACCATCGCCTGCGGAGGGTTTCACCTGCAGATCCACTTTGGGGAAACGAGTTTCACCTTGGCCATGCGAGGGGTGCTACGGTATACGCGTCAGCAGGGGAACTTTTTGTGATCTCACCTATGGGACATATATGACATATGATTGTTAATGATTCGTTGGGGGATTATACTACCCAGTTTTTTTCGGAGATTATCATATATTATTAAAAAAACATACAGAATGTAGTCAGAAAAGTCGTAGAACATAACAAACAATACTGAATTCCGACATGATAAGACTGGGAGTTTGACCAACTCGATGATGTTTATAAGATTACCCTCTGGTAATTTAACGTAGCTATTGAAAATGGTCATTTATAGTGGATTTACCCACTAAAAATGATGATTTTCCATAGTTATGTTAGTTTACCAGAGGGTATATCAGTATAGAACTCTGTTCACATGTTTTTGCTGATTTCTGAAGGCAGTGAAATTTCTCCAAGTCGGGGGGTTCAAGAACATGTCACAGTAAATTGCTACAGGATGGGGCCCCCGTTCGGAACGTTGCGTTCAGTTGCCGAACATGGTTGTGGCTGAATGAACTATGGTTTATGGTAGGTATCAGTATAGACTATAGTATTCATGGGGGTTATTTCATGGTTTATAAACCAACTAACATCACTGGGGGGGCACCACCTTGTAGCACTTGTTGGTAAATTTCATTTTGTAGATAGCTTTTAGGACGATTGGCCGTTGCGGCCATGTAAAAGCATCCACGTGGGGAATGCTTATCGTCATTTTCCGTATTAAAATGACCATTTCGGTGGTATACCCCCATTTTCAGACACTCACATGACTCAAATGCATGCCAAGTTCAAGCAACAGAGACTAAGCGAAAGGCATGCTAACCCCGATTGCACATTTGTTTAAACCCTAAAAATCCGCATCCCGCATCAATGTTGAGGCTCAAAAAGCCTCACTGCACCTTTTTTTCACGACATTTTTCTTGGATTTGCCTCTTCGGAAGCCTCAAAAAGTGGGTTTCCTATTGGCAAGAAAACAAATCATCAGCAAATCCCAGTTAAGCACCATTAATAATCACTCTTAATCACTATTAGTATTTATTAATCACTATTAATATGTCTTAATCACTTTAAATATCTATTATTAATATTAATCCCTATTAATCACTGATTAAAATGATAACTGATTAAAATCCCACAGGTGAAAACCTACATTTTTCATCCTGGTCCACCTCCACCCTCGCTGGTCCCTCCAAATAGCTACCATCTCCTATAGTCAAACATGGCGCTTGGGAAATTCTCGGGTTTTTAATATGGAACATCATTTATAGATGGGTTTGTTTGAAAATTGTCACCTAAATTTGATGGTGTATAATGATTATCCCTGTTGGAAAGAACGTATTGGGTGAGTATATCAGCTTTTGAGACACTTCCAAATATCATGAATTCTTTGTTGTCATGTATTCTGGGTAAATTAGAATATTTCACTAACCTGAATCTTGCGGCCATTTTGGGATGATTTCCCAAAAATTAACCATGATTCCAGGGTTCGAGAGAACAGGCTTCGGTCGTGATCAAATTACCGATGTATTGGATCCCATATATCTCATAAGTTTGGAATCCCATATACACCACACTTTACCATGGGTTTCTTGTGTTTTTTTTGTATCCCATATGGGGATGGGTCAAAACCCTGGTACCTAGTGAACCCCAAAATAGCTGGTAAATGGATGTTCATCCCACTAAAAATGGTATTTATAGGTATTGATCCATACCCATATGATCTCATCATGATCGGTAAAATCCCACTATGAATATCACCATCGCAGCCCAACCCTTCAGGCCGCGATGGGCAGTTCACTGCGGTCATCTCATTAGGCATTGGTTGGTTGATAGGTTTCCCGTATTTGTGGTTACCCTCTGGTAAACTAACATAGCTATTGAAAATGGCCATTTTTAATGGGAAACATCACTATAAATGGTGATTTTCCATAGTTATGTTAGTTTACCAGAGGGTAATGAAGAGTAAAAACTGCCTGGAATAAGCCATCCTCCTTGTTATATAATTACAATACCATTCTTACTCATGTATGATCATAATCTAATCTACATTCAAAACTAGTCCCAATAACCAAAGTACTATAACTCCCTATGATATCCTAAAGCAACAAAAGCTTATCTGCCCCAGCGTCCCGGGGCCCCGGGCCCCCCTTCTCTGCCTTCGGGCCGGGCGGCGAATTGGAATGTTTTGATTAAAAAAATCATTGTGTTTTGTTTACTAAGTGTTATAATGGGTTACCCTCTGGTAAACGTTTACATAACTATGGAAAATCACCATGCTATCAATGGGTAAATCCACTATAATGGGTTATCATGTCAATTACTGGTTTTACAATGGTTTAATGGGTTATAACATTCTTATAATGGGTTATCATGTTTTTATCATAGGAAAAACACTCCAGAAAAAATTAACTTGTTGACCCTGCCAGATAGGGGTTGGAAGATTAGTTTCCAATTAAACTTGGTTGTTTTCAGGGTCTATGTTAATTTGCCAGAGGGTATCATGTCTTAAAAAAAAACACATAAATGGGCCATGGCTTCTATAGCAAACTGTTGAAGTACTGGAAGGTATCATATAAATGATCATATATATATATGTATATACCCTCTGGTTATTTAACATAGCCATGGAAAATGGCCCATTTATAGATGGTTTACCGTTCTTAAAAATGGTGGATCTTTCCATGGCTATGTTAGTCATAACCAGATGGTATAATGGAAAATCCGATTCTAAAATAGATGATTTATGATGATTTGGGGGTAGCCCTATTCTAGGAAACCTCTATTATAATTATGTATATCAGTTCAACTGGTATATCAATTCAACTATCAACATGGTGAGAAACAACACCTTTAAAACAACTTTTCCATCCAATCATCTACTGTTATCGATGCTATACAATATAATTCTGGAGAAAAGAACATTATATATATAATCTTTATTATCTGGCTTAGGAAATATTATATTATATAATATTACATAATCTGGCTTTGGGAAATATTATATAAGATGGATTTCCCAAAACCAGATTGCTTTATCCATAAGTCGACCTAAAGGGATGGTGGATTCCCGATGGGATTGACGACAATCCCCATAGATTGACGACAAGCCCGATATTTTTTGAGGAGCATCATGTGGTGATCAGATGTTGTTGGAAGTTTACTAATCAAATTTACTAATCATAGTATGTTGTTAGCATATATCCAAGTGATTTACTAATCATAATTGTTTTTGTTGGAAACTAAACATACTATGGTTTTCGTAAATTCAAGCAACCAATCTTGGATATTTTTTTAATCCCAAAAAACAATTCCGTTCGCCAAAAACAAGTCTGAATGCTGGTGAACGTAGATAATCCCATTGATACCAAAAGACTAAAGGATTAGTTTCTACCCATCTAAGATTGACCTAGTTAATTATATGTAATTATGTGTAATTATCAATTGTATCCACCATTTTTAGTGAGTTCTAATGCCAATTTTATAGCTCGTCATGTTTACCAACTTTGCCAAGCATTGCACCCCGCGTTTTGCGCCTCTGAGAGGTAGAAAAAAACGGTCAGGACACGCAGTCCTGCAGCTTGAAAGCTTCACTTTACTGGGATGGGGATTAATGAAGATGAATGAGAATAATAATGGGGTATAATTGGGTATAATATTAATCCCAGTAAAGTGGAAGGTTTCACTCATTCATTAATTCCATTAAATTAAATGGGGATTAATCCCTATATTAATGGAAATTGATAGGGGGATAATATTGAGATACTAACGGGATAATTATTGGATAATGATTGGATTTACCCTCCGGTGTCAAACGTGGCAAGGGGAAACATCCCCAACTAATAGATGAGTTTATCATTAAGAACTCCATTTATAGGGAATTTTTCATTGCCACGTTTAATGACAACACAGGGTATCCCATAAATCCTTCAGATACATTCAGATGGGGTGTTTTCTTGTATACTAACTTGGTGGAAAACTGATACTGTATGCAGCAGATATGTCTATTCAGCTATAGTATATAGGTGAACAACTAAGCCATTTGCCTAATTGATTTTTTGAACAATCCTCCATTTTTCGGAACGACTTTGTCATGGTGGTTTTACTGGTTAAACTGTGGATGTTAGGGTCCCCATGGCAATGTGGAAAACACCCATGGTGTCCTTGCCTATGAATGAAACAAAAAGGCAGCTCTTCTGAGAATTGGTGCAGGAAATGGGAAGACTTAGCAAATCAAGAGGTTGGAACGTCTCCGAACTACTGAAATGTTTGCCAAGCGAAATTGATTGCAATTTCTGCAGCATCAAAAGTGGCTCAAAGCACCATTTTAATTGGTGAAAACCCGACTTATATTGTTTCAACGGCCATTCAATCTAAAATAATCTAAATAGTTCACATTTCTTACTTTGATATGATTTTGATGTAAATCAATCTACTGTAAAGATTTAAGCCATTCAGTCAATGGGAGATCTTCAGGATCCTAAAATTCAATGGAGCTACGTAAACGTACCATATTTCTGGCCATATTTTTTTGGGGATATTCCCTTACATAGCCCTTATATAGGCCTTATATATGGTAGGTACCTCCAATTTAGGATTCTGAAATTTCCATTGACATACACAATCAACATATTTCTTTTTTGGGATATTCCCTTACATACACCTTACATACACCTTGCATAGATCTTGCATATGGTAGGCACGTTGCGTCCTGCGCTCAATGCGGGCATCTCTTGCCAATTCTCATCATCAAGGTGCGGCTGATAGTGTTGTCCTTGGCCCATTGCCTACCCTGCGGAGAAAATTTGTTGGGGTAAACCATGGGGAAACCCAGATGGGGGTATGGTTAGGGTTAATGATGGTTAATGATCATTAATAGTGAATGGTCAATGAAAAAAATGATGGTTAAATGGTTTATGATTACAACAGTGATTTGGGGCTTTCCTAAGTCATGGGGGTAGCCCATTCTATATCTAAATCATCGATAGATGGGACACCATCCAGCAGCTCGCGGCTCGCGGGTATCCCAAGGACCCGCTGGAAGCCCCCATGGATCTTCCGTATTTCTGTTGGTAAAACCTATGGACTTTCATGTGGAACATCAACGATTAAGATTTGTTTTCTTATGTGGTGTGATTTGCCCCATTTCATGTTTTTGAAACACCACATTTAAAAAATATGGAAAACCCATGGTGAATCATCGAACTAAATGGGTCATTAGAGTCGCCATCTATGCCAAATTGCGATGCCAAATTACCAGAGGCTACGACCTTGCGATGCCAACAAAAACATGAGACTCCCCTCCAAAATGATGGAACATCACGATGAAAAAACCAGGAGAAACGTATGGATTTCTCTGGGATTGATACATGAGTTATGACAACTAAGTTGGTTTTACAACTTGTAGGGTTTATGGGGATATAGAGTAACTATAGTTTATGGGGTTTGTAAACCAACAAACAGAACCGCCGTGTCGTGCCAACCTTGTGGGAATATCCAACAATACATACCCTCTGGTAAACTAACATAGCTATGGAAAATCACCATTTTTAATGGGAAACCTCACTATTTCTATGGCCATTTTCAATAGCAAACTGTTAGTTTACCAGAGGGTATGATCATGGATAATTATGGACATGTAATGAGACTATAATGGGAATATCCATCTGGAATATCCGGAAATTCAGATTGAACATATTTTTTTTTTGGTAACCACTGAAGGATGGGATTGAACCGATGTTTGGGTGATCATGGGATTTTACCAACCGTCGCTATTGTCGTTGTCAACTGGAAGCCGATTTCCCCCATTTACTTCGATGATAAAAACGGTGTAGAAAACAAACATCACGGTGATGTTCCGCAAAGTGTGACATTGACCATAGGCCATCCAATGCATGTCTTTTTTGTTTTTTTTCGGGAGTTTATGATAAAATAGGGATCCATCAATGGATTTAGCCATCAATGATAGGTAGCCATAAAAAAAACCAATGAATACGTAGGTGATGGGGAATTCACCAACCAACTATTGGGTTCAACTGAGAAAAGAACAGGTTTAAGCGTCCAGAATGGGGTTTAAGAAACCGGGTGTATCTGACTCAATTTTCGATCGGGGAAAAAGGGGTTGACGAAAAAGGGGAAACATTAGTAGCGGATACTGCTATCAATGGCATTTTTTTTCTAACCAACACATATCACTCATATCCTCAATAATAAGCCATTGCCACATACATTTATGCAATATTTAGTACGAAGTTATATACTTGTGCCATAATGTGGTAAGTATTTTGGTAAGTAATTGTATTTGCTAATAATAATATGATAATTGATATGGGATATTTGGGTCTGTCTGGAAATGTGGTGTTTATCACTCATATATTATGGACATGTTGATAGGAAAAATTGTGATCAAGCATTGGACGGAATAGGGTATCCAAATTTCAGACGAACCCATTCAACTAACACCTTCCAAAGAATTGGGTTTAAACATTCCTATCTGGAGATCTTGACACCAGTGATATGGGTACACTTTATATAATCCCATATGTCCTCTAAAGAACAAAAACATAGATTCATATTCAACCAGGGTGTCCAGGGTTCGATGGGTTGGGGATTTGTTATTTTGCTGAGCTCTGCTGCCAACAACTTCGTTCCAGCCTGTGCTGAAATTCACGAGTTCGGGCATGAAACTAGTCCCGAAACTGGTCAGGAAGTCTTCAATTTTTTTGCCCCTTCGGTTTGCTGACCAGCACCAACCCTACAGTACCTGTGGTATCCCGCGAGGCAAGTTGACCCATCTCTGCGTCATGGGCACCCATGGTTCAAGCACCTCGTTTCTGGTGTGCTAACTCCCCTGGATTCGCGAATCATCCTATGGCCCTATGGATTCTCTATGATCGATTCTGAAATCTCCATTTTGGGTCAAATCTCCATTCTGATAGGTGATAGGTTTACCCTCTGGCAAACTAACATAACTATGGAAAATCACCATTTTCAATAGGTAAATCCACTATAAATCACCATTTTCAAGAGCTATATAACAAATTACCAGAGGGTAGTCCGTTCCACGGTCTGGCATGCATCACGGAACATCATGGCCCGTCACCCTGTTGAGCCCAGTTGCCGCGATTGTAGAGGAGAAACCTTGGGCATAGAACAGAACGAAGCAAAAACAATACGATTTCACGGGAATCAAACAACAATGACAAAGACGGAGAAGAAGAAGGACGACGACGCCGACGACTTTAACAAGAACAAGTGGGGATATCTGAGCCCAAGAAACGGAATCATTCAGCAGAAACGAGGATAGGAAGACCCGAAATGGTGAATGCAATGAACTGTCTGGTTCCTGCAAAAATCATTATAGTTCTTAGTTTACATTCAGAATTGCTAGTTGATTTACAGGATGGTACCCGCCAGTTCTACGTCGGCTTGTAATCCCCATTAACTTCGATATAACCCCCATAAGCACCAGTGATTGGAGTTATAAACGAACTTAGCTAACTATGGGGGCGCCACTCTCTATGCATTTGTCTTCATAAAATTGGTACATACCCAGGTTTTGCGTTTTATAATGTTTTGTTGGTCGGACCAAAATTCCACTACTTGCACCACATGTTTGTTTGATCAACCTCTTGACCACTTCTTGTAATCTCAACCCTGGATTTATAACGTCCTGGACAGTTCAATGGGGAAGATACCATTTCAATAGCGGCTTATCATATAGGTTAATTACTATTTGGAAGTACCATTAAACAAACAATCTAAACAGCAAATGATCATAAATGATCAGGAGTAACCAGCTGGGCTACAGCCCTAAGAAACCAGGATACCCTCTGGTAAACTAACATAGCAAACTGGAAAATCACCACTTTTAATGGGTAAATCAACGAACTAAATGGCCATTTTCAATAGCTATGTAACAAATTACCAGAGGGTAGATCCTAATCCGTCCATTACTCGGGCTTGACTTTGTTGAGTTTCAACCTGCCGATGGGACCCACATCGTACCGAGGTGCTCGATAGATTCGAAGTTTTGGGGCGGAATGCCTTCGCGCAAGCGGTGAATTCTTCGTCTCTAATGGGTGATGCCCTTCGGTGTCATCAAAGATGGCTGGAAAATCCGCCATTGATATTATTCCGTGATGTTCCCATTCAAACCTCCATTTATAAATTGGTTGGTGGTATACCTACCCCTCTGAAAAATATGAGTTCGTCAGTTGGGATTATTATTCCCAACTGAATGGAAAGTCATTCAAAATTCCATGGTTCCAAACCACCAACCAGTACAGGATTTTCCCATTCAAACCACCATTTACAAAGGAGTGTCCGTAGTCGCCGGTGACGACGTTTCCCTTGTTGAACACGTAGTCGAACTCGCTGTCGTCGTTTGTGCCGAACAGCACGGCGTCGCCCCGTCGCACCATTCCCTCGAGGAAACACACCTTGCCATCCATGGAGAAGATTGGGCTGGAGCAGGTGACGTGGTGCGCGGTGGCGAACCCGATTTTCCCGGTACGCAACCTGACGGCGAACCCGGTACCGACAGTCAAACCAAAAAGTGTAAGTGTGTAGACAACGCGGTCGGCGACGACGTCGGACATGAACGGAGACAAGTCGTCGATGGGCTCGGGCCACAAGCGGCCGCTGACGTAGCCGACGAGGCTGCTGATCATGCACTTGGCGGCGTAGAAAGGAGTGTCCAACTTGCCATGTTTCCCGGGTCCCCCAATCTGCGGAAGGTTTCTTGAAATGGGGGATCTCCAAGTCACCATGAGTTTCCATGGGTTTCCCCCATTCTAAGTTTGGATGATTGAAATAGCGATAACTAGTTTCAATACTAATATATAATATATAATATATAATATATAATATATAATATATAATATATAATATATAATATATAATATATGATATATAATATAATATAATGTGTATATATAAATACATAATACCCCCAGTTTTCTTCCAAAATATGTGTCAATACTAGTCGAAGTTTGGATGAGGGGCTACCACTCATCTTTAGGCACATGCGCCTTCAAAAGGGGGTAGCTTGAAGAGAAAGGGAAGCCAACAAGATAGAGAAGTTGCAAAGGAATAAATGGAGCAAAAGGAACCTGGTGGTTTCAACCCCTCTGAAAAATATTAGTCAATGGGAAGGATTATCCCATATACTATGGAAAAAAAAACATGTTCCAAACCACCAACCAGGAACAATAGAGAAAAAAAAAACGAAACTGAAGGACTAAACTTACTGGTGCTTAGTAGGGAATGAGGGAATGATCCACAATAACTATTAATTAATAATCGTCCCATTCCCCCATTCCCGATTAAGCCTAAGCACCATCAAGTAAGCCAAGTAAAGCTTGCAATCACCAGGGTGATGTAACAACGTGCGATCCGTGATCCTCTAGGGGCAGCTGTTGTTTTTTTTTCCATACCGTCATGGATGGTGTCGATATGTTTTCATTCATGAATCAGGGTAAACTATAGTAGTTCCCAAAGCTGAATTGAGGCTATTTTGGATAGTTACACCTACGAATCAATTTTCCAGTGAGGGAGAACAGTGAGGTCGTTATAATTCACCTGATGACTGGAGGATTTTGAGGGTAACAAAACCATACACGGATGATCTAGGGTTGGCTAAGTGGCTAGGGTACAAATGCCTGGACTTTGGATTTTTTGTTGCCTACCAAATCCTTCAAGAAACACCGGGGGACCATGTGGTGTGATGGGGGCTACCATGGGCTACCCATCTCGGAGGTGCTTTCCACTTAGTTCTCCTAGGTATACATGGACTGTTGTGCATTGGGCATATTGGACATGGTGTTTAAGCTCTTAACTGCAATCATCCAAGTTGCAGTTCTCATTGAGAATGAAACACCTTCGAAACACCTTCGAAACACCTTCGAAACACTGGATTACCTTCAAGGCGTCAAAGGCTTGAATGCAAATAATGCAAATCTCAGCTTACTTGTTAGTTGAGTGATTTGAACATCTTGTAGATGCTGTGTTGTTCTCATCATGCTCCAATGGTATTGCCATTTATGGCTTCATAATCAACCCTGACGATTAGATTGTGGGGCTTAGCCCCTGAAGAGTCATAATTTCCTTTCACAATTGGTATATTGATAAAGTGGGGGTTTGGCAAAATTCTGCGTTAACATTACTATATATATATATATAATCCAATCATGAACCGTTTAACTCATTTAACTATCATTCAACCACTAATTTCGCGCTTGGTTTAGCCACGGTCTCCCTTCCTAAACGACCGACAACAGCGCACCCAGAAGCTCCGAAACTCGTCGGTAGATTTCTTGGATCAAAGGATCACGAAGACAATGACCTTTTTGGATCAGAGGTGCCCCTTTTTTTTTGGCGAACAATTGGTGTAGCCTCTGGTATGCAAAAACTATGGAAAATCACCGTCAAATTAATAGGTACATCAAGAATAACCTGCTATATCACACATGCAGTAAGTTTCGACAAGCAAAGCTCTAGACGCCTGCCGTGAGGCCCCATCTTATGCCATACTTCAAGGATCCAATGTGGATTGCCCTCTGGTAAACATGCAAACAACGATGGAAAATCACAATCTTTAAGTTCGGTAAGTCAACGAACTAAATGGGTCATTTTCCATAGCTAGGTAACAGTCCAGTCCCCAGAGGGTCACTATGGTGAATCAACTTTGGTGGTAGATATCTATGGAACTATAAATAACAAATAATGGATATAATGGGATGAACACTTGATATCTATCATAAACCATAGATATCTATCATAAACCATAGTTCCAAGGGATGATTTGCCATGGTTTTCTTTCCCTTGTAATCATCAACACTAAGCATCATCCCTAAATATCTATGCTTAATGTTGATGATTTTCAAGGGATTCACTGACAAAAATACTGGATGAGCTGATGAGCCATTGAGCATCAATGATAGGGATTTAATCTCAGTTGATTGATGATAAAAAACGGGTTCGGTGAACTGACAAAAATGAGCATTTGACCCTGGTTGATGCGTGATTTAATGAGAATTGAGCCATTCATAGGGGTCATCCATCATGCATGGCATACCCATCATGACCATCCATCTTTTTGGGTGAGTTTAACTTGTTTAACCATTGAAAAAAGGGTGATCTAGTGGGATATGAATGGAAAAAATCACGGGATTAATGGGGATAAATGTGATATGTAACTGGGGCTTGAATGTGTGAGAACCGTTGTACCATGGAGTGGCCAAACCTGAATGTATAGGGTTTCGATGTAAACATCAATATGATGTACCCTCTGGTTGTTTAACATAGCCATGGAAAATGGCATAAAATGGCCCATTTATAGATGGTGTACCTATTACAAAAAGGTGATTTTCCATGGCTATGTTAAATGACCAGATGGTAATACTAAAAGCAAGGTTTCGTTTCGTAGGTTTCGTTTCGGGGGAAGGCAGTGTTGTTAAACGGCAGTGGTGAGTTCATGTTTCAAAATCCATCGGACACAATGGGGCGATATCGTGAGTCAGGACACACAAAAAAAGAATCCAACATATGATTATAGAGAAGTCACTTTGATAGAATCAAACCATTTTTTGAAAGGGTCATTGAGGATCCTCCAGTATTTCTCTTGCAGTCATGTGTCACTTCTCTATTTACAAGCTCCAAACTTCACGACTGTTAGTGATCACCAGTTCAGGTGCAAAATCTCCTGGACAGTTTCCACCATCCATGATGACCAACTTGTCTAAGCAAATATTGAAATTTCATCAATATCCCATCTGGTTGGTGGTGTACCTACCCCTCTGAAAAATGATGGAGTTCGTCAGTTGGGAAGGATAACATCCCATATATATATATATGTATACCATCTGTTTATTTAACATAGCCATGGAAAGATCCACCATTTTTAAGAACGGTAAACCATCTATTTCTATGGTCCATCTATACCATGGCTATGTTAGTCATAACCAGAGGGTATATGGAAAATCATAAGTTATTCATGTTCCAGTCACCACCAACCAGCCATAGAATATCCACATAATTCTGAGTTGTTCACCTAGTTTACCTACCCCCATTGGCCCATTGGCTTGCTGCGTCTCAACATTCTAACCACCAAACAGCCTGTACTTCCACTTATTTGGTATATACATGTGTATATATTATATATATAATCGGAATCAATCAATATCAATCATATAGTATACATATTGAATCTATACATATACAACCATATACATATCATATGTAGGTATGAAGCATAACCATGGAAATACCCTGCTCTGTTTTCGTGGCTTAAGGAAGATCCCCAGTTCGGTTACATTATCATGATCCCAATTTTTTGTAGAGTATAGCCCTCGAAGTATGTATATTAACATATTATTTTTTTGTGTACGATACACTATTTTCGAATGAACCAAAATCATCAATCAACTACCCTCTGGTAATTTAACATAGCTATAAAAAAATCACAATTTTTAATGGGAAAACTCACTATTTCAATGGCCATTTTCTATGTCGCAAACTGTAAACGTTTACCAGGCCGGGTATTACGATACAATTCATCAAGTCCTCATGTTTCTGTTGAGTAAAAAAATCTACATTACTGTTGATCATTGATGATTCCAATCCCCATATTAATATTTCATGGCTCAGAAAAAAACAGGGTCAAAGCTCCATAAATCCAAATGATTTTCGTCATGATGAAACGCGAGTTAAATCATCAACCAACTGGGTTGGAAAAATCCCCCAGTTAATTTCATGATGAATTATATAATGTAAACATGCCCTATTAAAAAAAGACCATGGTTGCATATCGTTGCCAATGTTTTGTCAGATCCCAACTGTTGGTTCACTTTTTCAGACTCTGGTGCAATAACCATCTTGAAAAATATGAGTTCGTCAATGGGAAGGATGACATCCCATATGAAATGGAAAAAAAATGTTCCAAACCACCAACCAGCATTCATAGTTGATTTGCCTTTAAAAAATGCTGATGTTCCATTGTAATATTAGATTCATCATTGATTATGATCCCACTATGGTATGGAAAAATCACCATTAAAAAAATGCCTCCGTACCATCTCTTGGGTGATTTTCATGGTGATTTTCCATAATCCATTAATATTAAACATTAGTGTAAACGTAAACATTCCTCTACTGTTTAAACTTTACCCTCTGGTAAACTAACATAACTATGGAAAATCACCATGTCTAATGGGAAATGTCACTATAAATCACCATTTTCAATAGCAAACTGTTGACATAACCAGAGGGTAAATATCCCGACTTGGCCTCCGCACTCTTTTCACAATCCACCTTGTTCACGTCCCGCTCTTCTGGCCTTGCTGGGAAACAATCGTCAAGGTCTTGGGAGGCAATGAATGGGGCTTAACCTAACCATACCATGTGGTATAATAGTATTGGATAACCAACAACATATAGTATGACTTATATAACAAACAAAAAATATTGGATAACCCAACTAGTATAGCTTATATAACCAACAAAAAATATTGAATATCATAGTAATGTTTAAGCAACAAAAAAATGTGGGAAATGTAATAGTGGATATAGTGGGGTATGGAAAACTGTAGTGGGAATAACATGGCGTACCCTACACAAAATATGGGAAAAATAATAGTGGGATATGACAATATATAGTCGGAATAACTAGTAGTGATGATTCACATAGTGAGAAGGGGATAAATCATAGGGATGTCGTGAGATATAGTGGACTATACCATCCGGTAATCAAACAGGGCAATGGAAAATCCACCTTTTTTTCAGATCAGTTGCCCAGCTAGAGACCTCCGTGTATGAAGGATTTCCCGCTTTGTTGATCCCCTGACCGACCACATCAACTTGTATGGCTCCCATCCAGATCTTTGGTTGTTCAATGCTCCATGGGAATTTCCTGGTGAAAACCAATTGCCACTTCCCCACCAGAGAACTGACCAAAATCACCACGACTATAGACTTCAAATGACATCAACGCCTAAATTTTGGTGGGATTTCTTGCAGTTTTCCACTTGCCACTTCCCCGAAAAAACCACTTGCCACTTCCTGCCAAAGTGCGGGATGTCATCTGGATCCTGCGGAGAGAACGAATGAAAGAATCGGGTATAGCAAGCCATCAACCATCGTGAGTTCACCCTGAACCATTTAACATGATTTAACTGATTTTTCACCAACAACCATATGGCAGTGTGTCAAAACCAATAGTACCCTTGGTGAACATCAAAATAGCTGGGATTTATGGATGTTCATCCCACTAAAAATGGTATTAATAGGTATTGATCCATACCCATATAACCATGCGATATATCATGGTAACACATTTTTTGTATCATCTGGGGACAATCGTGGAAATATCATGGATGTATGGGAAAAACACCAGGCTTGATTTGATGCATGGAGTATGGTCATCCATGCCAGAGGAATCCCGAAAAAATCATGTCGGGTGAGATCGTTCGCAAGATTCTACGGTAACTTTTTTTTCAGTGGCAAGAGATCACCCCCATGGATGATAAGATATAACTAAGATATAGCTGATATAACCAGAGTATAGTCATTTCTGGTGATGAAAACATATCAAAACCACTCTCAAAAGCACTTTTTCACTCCCATCATGACATGGAATGGAGCAAGATTCCGGGCGCCACAGAGTGGTTCGGTCGCAGCTGTCGTGCTCTGAACTGTTCATCTTGGATAATGCTTGGATCCTCTGGAAGGGCTTTGTCCTCGATTGTGGTCCGATTTTATGGTTCTGGGTTCGAAGAAGGCCGTCACCGGAGATCTCCAATAGCGAAGAGGACAGCGACATTGGGGCGGAAAAAACATGGATCATGGATCTATAGGTAAATTTCAAAGAATTTACGAACCTGAAGTAAGCTCATTTAAAGGGATTAAATTGCCCTATACTTACAGTACTCACCATCATTCCAGGCTTCGGTCACGACGTGAGGTTATGGTTATCTCACCACTCAAACTATGTGAAACTGCACCTTTTTTGAGCCCGGTACCAACAAAAAAACGATGCAAATGTCAAACAAATGAACTAGCGAAATACCAAAAAATATCCAAAAACATGAAACAACAATTGTGAGAACTCGCTAAGCGGCATTAACACACAAATCTTATTTTGAGGTCAGCAAGTGAAGGCATTATAATTTGCTTACATCCCCATCTTGATTGTTTGGTCATGGATTGAAACCCAATTTTCAATCCTTAACTTTTGATTAACATGTGTTTTAGGCTGTTGATAAAATGTGTGAATCATGATGTTCGGTTTGTTGATATCCCTCACAAGTATATCAAAAAATGCCAAGCACCTTGGTGTTTCGTTGTAGAATTGCCACTTTCGGGAGTAACGTAACAGCTCCGTTGAAAAAACTCTGAGCTACAAAAACGCTGTGGATTTGCTGATCCGGCTTTCCCGGGAACATGCAGAAAATCATCAGCAAATCCAGGTTTTTATTGTTATTGTTCTCCCATGATAAAACTCTCTGGTAAACATACAAAAAGTTATTCAACATGGTCATAGAAATAGTTGATTTACCCAGCTATAAAATGCTGATTTTCCAGTTCGCAAACTGTAAGTTTACCAGAGAGTATCCCAATATTTTCCCATTCTCCATACATTGGATGCTTCCAATCGAACCAAAAAAAAACCGTGGCCTCCGGCTGGAAACCACTCTGGTAGGCAACAGAGATCAATCTCTCCGCCTTCGAGATGGCTGTGCGTCCCGACTAAAAGGTGATCCCATGGTCCGATTTTCGGAGTTTTATTGAACACACAAGCTTTTTACCCTCTGGTAATTTAACGTAGCTATTGAAAATGACCATTAATAGTGGATTTTCCCATTAAAAATGGTGATTTTCAATAGCTATGTTAAATTACCAGAGGGTAATGGTGTGGTTTTCTCATTTTTACTAGGGTTTTTCCATGGGTTTGAATGTCCTTTTTTCTTTTAAGTGGGTTTCTTAAAATAGTGGGTTCAGGAGTATTGTTTTTCTGAGATCTTTGGTTCTTGTTTCTTTACATAAAAACATTATAACATGCCTTGAGGGTGGTTTTTTCATAACCCTGGAAGGTAAGGATGACCCGGGGCGGAAACAACCAGGGTATCCAACAGCTGCGGAGTCAACCTCTTGCTGTCAGATAAATAAAGGATATGGGCATGGGTGTGTCTGAAAAGGGGCTATATCATATCCCCCCAAAATGCTATTGATATAATAGAGAAAATGACATAAAATGACGATAAACCATTAGGTTTGGAGGCATTTTCAGAGAAACCCATATCATCAAAAATGAACTAGGTAACTAGGTCTCACTGCAAGAAATAGTTCTTAACCACCACATAACGACTGGACCCCAGTGGACAAAATGGGATCGAAATGTTGAACACATTGAAATACTTGCATTTGCTGATCCAGATCAATGGGAATTTCAGGATCCTAAAATGGAGGTACTGTATCATATAAGGCCATATTTTGGGGGGATATTCCCTTACATAGGCCTGAACAATAGGCCTTATATATGGAATCGGTACCTCCAATTTAGGTTCCTGGAATGGCCATTGACCAGAGCCCAGAAAATGGAAAAAAAAACTATGGATTCCCCATGGGTTGGTGGATTTCCCGTTGGGAAAGTAAAAACATCACCTTAAAAAAACCAATGAATATGGGCATATCTCACCATTGCTTCTGGAGAAGAACAACACATGGTGAGTTCAGAAAAATAATGGAAGAGATCACCTTCATCGTGGATGCCTATTGGATATAACCAAGTATTAAGTATACCCTTTGGCAATCAAAAATGGCAAGTGAAAACCATAGTTTTAAGAATTTTTTTAAATGGGAAACACAGGAAAATAAGATGCATCTATAAATGCGGGATTATGTAAAAATTACCAGGTGTTTATGCAACGGTGATGAACCTGCGGAAATCCAACATGGTCTACCCGGTAGGACTCACTGCTGGCCATTGCTAAAATACAAGCGTCGATTTTGACAGGGTCAACCCTTTGTGCAAATCTCATAAAATTGGATAAAGGCAAGTGTTATCAGAACCCCCCGTATGGAGTGAAGACCATGGCTTCCTGTATAATTTTTCACTTACATAATTCCATTGATATTCATTCTATTTTGTAATTATTGATCTTATCACCCATTGAATCATTGATGATTGGTTGAAACCTGCGGTAGGTTCTCATGGATATGGACACGCCAGTATTTGTGGCTTGTTTTCCTCCGGAAACCGTGGGTTTTCCGTAGCCAAACACAGTTGGTTAGGAGACATAACAATCTTAGATACTATCAGATACCTATATGTTTAGATAAGTATGGTTTAAATTAGGTATGCTATAAATTGGTATATGAGTTTCCTATTCATATGGTCAGGACATATACCAAATTATCTTTAAAGGATTTGGGAGTGCTGCTTAGTATCCATCCAAGATTGACCCATGATGGTTTCCAGGCTGCCTCCCGCTGGGTTTTTTTACTGTTAGTTGGGGGAATGATAACCAGTTTTTTTTTGGTGAGAATAATGAGAAGGTATAATAGAATTGTGGTAAAGCATTGGAGTTTTTTTTTTCTCAATTTTATCATATATTATCAGCTAGAAACCAAAACCATGAACCATAAATGGGTGAACACAAATAATGACCATGAACTGGGCTTGTCTGAGAATAGGATGCCCCCAAAATTGATGGTGTATGAATGCTTCTGATTAATTTCCCCAATTAAATTACCATGTTGGGGGCTATCCCAATTAAATTACCATGTTGGGGGCTATCCCCTATTTTCTGCCAACCCCCACTCAGATACTGTTTCGATAGATCCCATTAAATTGCCATTAAATCACCACTGTTCATCAGGAAATGATAGTTAATCGTTCCACTTGTAATAGCACCAAAAAGATAGAAAAGTAAATTCCTACTAAAACAGTGCCGAATTGAACCTTTTCTGGTTGATGGTATACCTACCCCTTCTGAAAAATGATGGAGCTTGTCAGTTGGGATGATTATTCCATTCCCAACCAGATGGAAAGTCATTCAAAATTCCATGGTTCCAGTCACCACCAAGCAGATAATAACAATCGTATCTTACACTATTATCACATTATAGTTGTACATAAACCAACTTAGCTAACGAACTGGGGGTATGATTGCTACCTTCTGGTAAACTAACATAGCTATTGAAAATGGCCATTTATAGTGGATTTTCCCATTAAAAATGGTGATTTTCCATGGCTATGTTAGTTTACCAGAGGATATACCGGCTATAAATGGATGAAGACACGTCCGCCGTCCCATCCGACCAACGTCCGCCTCCGAAGGGCTCAGAAAGTCTGGAAATTCGGCCACGGCTGGATCTGAGTGGAGCAGCCTGAAAAATTCAACGAAAGCCTGGATCTGGTTGGTTAATATACTGTTAATGATTAATATATGGTGATTATATGGTGATTATATGGTGATTATATGGTGATTATATGGTTAATATACCATTTTACCATGGTATTATCTGGTATACTGTTAATATACTGTTCATAATATACTGTTAATAATGGTTAATATTAATGGTGATTATATGGTTAATAATGGTTAAGAATAATCTGGTCGGTGGTTGAGCCAACCCCTCTGAAAAATGATGGTTGGTGAGTTCGTCAGTTGGGATGATTATTCCATTCCCAACTGAATGGAAAGTCATAAAATTCCATGGTTCCAGTCACCACCAACCAGCTGGAATTTCGAAAGGGTTGGTTCTGGGAAAAGCCACCAGTTCAATGGCTACAACTCACCACTGGGGGGATTTACCAAAGCCTCACTGGAAACATCGACGAAAGCATGGTCTTTACATCTTTTCCATGGCCAATATATGGTTAATATATGGTTTCATCCAGATTTTCCGGCGTCAAAGCTTTCCCTTAGACCAATTCGTGGATGGACAAGCAGCAACCATGGCGAGACTGGAAAATCATCGAGTTCTGCCTTCCCATTTCTTCTAATAGCCCTATATGGCTATGGATCAATACCTATTAATACCATTTTTAGTGGGATGAACATCCATTTACCAGCTATTTTGATGTTCACCAGGGGGATAGGGTTTTGACACATCCCCATATGATGGACCCCCAAAATTGACAAATCCAATATTGAACCAGGCTTTCTGGGGGATAATCATGGATAATCAATATGATGGGGAAGGGATTCAAGTTGAATTGAACCAGATACAATATCAATCAATATCATATCTGCTCTCCAAAAAACGAGAAACATGTTCACCTCCTATATAATCTGGTTGGTGCTGTACCTACCCCTCTGAAAAAATTGAAAGTCAGTTGGGATGATCATTCCCAACTGAATGGAAAGTCATTCAAAATTCCATGGTTCCAGTCACCACCAACCAGATAATAACAATAGTTAATAAGTATCATACGCTATTGTTATTATAGTTATAAACCAACTTAGCTATAAACCAAAGTAGTGTTTCGTTTGATTTGAACATGACGGCGTCATGATTTAGATGATTTCCCAGCCACGTTTGACACCGCAGAGTATCACTTTTTGGGCCATAGCTTGGATGACTCACACTGTGGATGGTTCATACCTGCACTCGTTGGTAGATGCTTCATCCCTAAAAAAAATCCCATTGGTACAATGTTTAATATGTACCAATAGTTGCCAACTGGTGGATGTTTTCCATCCTCAGTATTTTCAGGTTTTACATTGTTTTACTATATATATATGGTTGGTGGTGCAATAATAACCATCTTGAAAAATATGAGTCAATGGGAAGGATGACATTTCATTTTTTCCTTTCCAGTTGCTGCAGGGGTGCCCCTGCTCGGTCATGCTCTTTGGCCTGGTGCTACTCTGTACAGAGGATGGTTCAGCTGTAGTAATCAGGCTGAACGATGTCGTCCTCAACAAAATCATTCGCTACCAGGTCGGCAAACTCCGCGGGCATCTGCTGAGTTTGCGACACCGAAAAGGTGTGCTGTACAAAGTCTGCTACCGCCTGCGCAATGGCAATGTTGAGGCCTTGAGGATAGACCTTGCCCCTTGCGGTCTTAAAGGCTCCGTCCTCTTCTTGTCCCGCCAGTGCTTCGTGGGCTGATGGTCCATGACGGCATCGCCCCATGCATCCTGTGGTCAAGATCTTCTGCCGCAAAAGCGGCAAGCGCAGGTGTAGAATGGTGGTTGGCTTCTTGGCTCGGCATCCAAAAATGCACTGGTCAAAGCTCGTGATGCCAATCGCTTGAAGTGTTCGCAAAAGGCGCATGGCAGAGTTGGTCCAGACACTGGATGGATCCATAGCCTTTGCCCAGGTAGGGTATTGAGGGTGTTCTATGAACGCACAGCCCCCGGTCAAGGCCAGAACCAGCACCACATCGATGATGAACCGCATGAGCCTGGATCCAATCATCACCTGTCTCCAAGCTTTCAGCGGGATATTGGGGATCCCATTCGGCCAACTGCCGGATCTGACTGGTGGGGGGCCCCCCTGCAAGAGTCGGGCAGCAGAGTATGACTCGCAGGGGGGGCCCCCTCCGGCACCACAGACCTGTCCAGACTTGATGCGGTCCATCCACCATGTCAGCGAGGATGATGATGCTAAATCTCCCCTTTCCCTTTGTAGGCACATGTCCACTGAAAGCACAAACAGCTGGTGGCCTTGTGGGAAGACATGGTGGTCCAGCAGGTCATGGAGGTCGCCCCTTCTGCGGTACCCGGAGAAGAAGTGCACAAAGACCTGTGTGCGAATGTGCAACCTGGCTGTCTCACGCGCCAGCCCTTTCAGTGAGAATCTGCCATCCCCTGCGTTCATTCCGGCTGCAGACTGAAAGACAAATGCTGGCAAGTCATCATCAAACAGGATGACGTGTGGCACCGGTGCCTCGTGCCTGGTAAGTGCATGACCTTGCAACTGCTCAAAGCCGGAGCCTGCGGTTGGGTTGCGCCGGCTCCATTTGCGGTGCATTTGTGCAGCATCTTGGGTCCCTGCGATGGGCAGGCAAGGTCCATGGATCTTGCGTGCTGGGGCCAGAGCTTTGGCGCTCCCCACCCCTGGGCACGCAGGGCAAGGGTGGTTTCGTGGTCAATGGCATCAAAGGCTACCACCTGTTCGTCGGACAGCGGTGGGAAGCATGCTTGCAAAGTGCGTAAGCACTCTGAGGCATCTCGGAGGTGCTCAATGAGCCGTTTGCGCGTGGCATATGTTTTGGCACAGGCATTGCAGGTTTGGTCCACTGCATAAAATTTGACCAAGCGGCGGTATCCATGTGCACGGCCGGAGTGCGTGGCGAGGGCTCGCTTGGAAGGAAAGGCCTTTTGGCACTGGTCGCAGACCCATGTTTCACCTTGGAGGGTCTGGGCGCAAGGCAGGCTGCCGCCCGCAGCGACGAATCTGGCTTGGAACGCTTTGAGCCACACATGGTCTTCAGCCGTGGCCTGCCGAAAGCTGAGACATCCTTTGGCAGCCTTCTTGAGACGGCCATTCCAACTGGAATCCAAAGCCACATGCGTGATCCATGCCAGAGTGTCGGAAGCATCTGTGGGTGCTCCTGGGACTTGATAGAACTGCAAAAACCAGGCAAAGGAAGACTTGCACAGGGCTAGCCAGCTGTGGGGCCACTCGGCAGCTTGCATCAGCAGATTCCACAGGGTTTGAGGGCAGTACGCTAGCAGGCGTTTGAGGTACCTCAACCTTGCAATATGCAGCTGGTCTGCCGGGGGTAGGATATGGGCCAAAGCAAACAGGTCTACCGTATCGACCTTGACTGGTGCAATCCCTTTAAGCATGGGCTTCGTCATCAGCCCCAAAGGTTTGCGGAGCTTCTGTTGCCAGGTGGCAATGTGGTCGTCGGTGACCCCAACCCACGTGTGGGCGTTGTAAACCATTCTGGACATGCTAAGTGACTGGAAGGCTGTTGTTTTGGCTTTGAGGCCGACGTGCCGCTTATGGTAGAAGGAGCGCGCCAGGCATCCCCAGCTTTGCAGGGCCAGGGAGGCCCGGTGTGCGATTTCTCGTTGATGGCTGCCTCCAACTTGCACCCAAGATCCTAGGTGTTTGTAGGAGTGTGCGACACGGAGATTGAAGGTGTGTCCTCCGTGCTGCCAAGTGAGCCATTGGCCTGAATCGTGCAGCCGCTCCTTCAGGGCTTTGGAGCCTTTGCCAAGGATGTCCCATAAGACTTCGGTTTTGCCTTGTTGGAAATTCACATCCAGCCCTCTTGTCTTGGCAGCGGTGTGGAAGGATTCCACAACCAGTTTGATGAGACGTTCAACCTCTGGCAATGTCTCTGCATGGACTGCGACCGCCACATCATCTACGAATGACACATCAAAGTAAGCATGGGGGGGATCTCTTCAGCTTCAGCAAATGAGCAGCAGTGTGTGGGGGCTCCGAGCCAGGTTGCCCCGGAGTTGTGCTGTACTTGGGCGTGCATGTCGTGCAGGACTAGGCGCATTATCAGGTTGAAAAGTTGGTCTCCCAATGGGTCGCCTGGCCTGGTCCCACGGGTCGTGTGGCAGACCCCTGGAACCCCATCAACTGTGAAGAAAGTGTTGTTCATGCAGTCCTGGATTAACTTTTCAGTATGGGGTGAGGCATTCAGAATGGCATGATCGGTTTGTGCCTGCTGCAACCACATGTCGATCAGGTGTGTGGGAACTCCCCAGCTGCGCAAGGCGTCTGCCACTGGCTGGGGGTCCAATGGATCTGCCAGGAGGGCTTGTCGCAACACAGAATAAAAGGCTGATTTCAAATCAAAGAAGACCACTGCTGATGGCAGTTTACGCCCCCTACACCAGAACTGGTGGGCTTCCACCATGTGGTGGGCGATATCTGTGCCCATGGTCTTCCTGCCTCCAACCTGCAATAAGTCCATGCCCTCTGTCCATGGCCCTTCCAACTGACTGCGCAGCATCCGGTGGTAGAGCTTGGATGTGTGGTCGGAAATATAGATAGCTCTATATGCGGCAGGGTCGGCCGTAGAGTCACGCCCTTTGTATAGGGGGACCAACTTGCCTCCCTTCCATGAGGAGGGTTCCTTCCCATGCGCCACGACTTTGGTAGTGAGGGCCGTGAACTGCTTGGAGAAGATGCTACCACCAGCCTTGAGGAGACATGGTGTGATGCCGTTGGGCCCTGGGGCCTTGCCTCTTTTCATCCTTGCTACGGCCGCTTGTAGATTCCAGTCGGAGGGAAAGGTCTCTACTTCTTGGATGTCACGAGGCAGCATCGGCATGGATGCATCGGAGGTCCTGAGCGTTTCCCAGCTGACTCTGATGCCTGCTTCAATGTGCGCAAATTGGTGGAGCCAAAGCAGCTGTTGTTGGGCGTAGGAGGTAACCATCTCTCCCTGCGGGGTGCGCAACATGGGC